TCTTCCAACTTTCACTCAATCTTTTTCCTCTCTCCCATTCTTACCAAGCTCTCTGCCGCTCTCCTTTCATCATCTGTCATCCCTCAGCATCAGTCTGCTCTTACATTAAAATGAAACTGTTTGCAGTGGAGTGCTAAAGAGTGATATTGAGGGAACAGAAAAGATTTTCTGCTGATCAGCTATGGCACCCAGCAGCAGCTTTTCCTTATATGTCTTGGAAACTGTTCAACCATTTCATCTGATATTAGAAATAAATGGGACTAAAACAGACTTGTAACCTAAAAAACTGTCTAAGTTAACATGTTTTCAGTGATGAAGAGAGAAGTGTCATGCATTCTGAAATTGTTGAAGACTTTTATCTGGTCAAAATCTACTTTTTTTTTTTTTTTTTTAAAGGCAATGTATACACAACCTGAAGTAGAAGAAAATCCTGGATTCTTCACTTTTTTTTTTTTCCTTCTGATTTTTGTTTACGAAAACTAGTGGTAAACAACAAAGCCATATTTGAAAGTTACATTAGTAATTCATCTTTTTTGTGATCATGCTTTCCTGGAATAGACCTGGTTTACTGGAGCGATTATTATCTGTCATTATGACAGTATATACAAAGCAAATGCAACCTTCATAAAGGTTAAATTACTTTCATCTACATCCTGACCTAATGTATTTGGGTCCCACAGTCCATACTTCCAAGCAATACAGTTACAACTACATATGATTTTCCTAATACTTGTTTTATACACCATAATGAATATAAAAGTCAGGTGGTTTTCCATGGTGAAGGAAAAAAAGAAGGCACACTTACCACTTATTTTTTTCCAACATGTATGCATATAAATTTCCATAATTTTTCCCATCAACATGTTTTATATGGATTACTTTTTTTTTGTATCAATCATCTTCTGTAATGCTGTCCCAATACAGAATTAAACCTGAAATGTGTTCATAGCTAGTTGGATAGTTATCTGTGTTTTTGTGGCTACTTGTTGTCAACACTTCTGTCTGGCACAAGAAGCAGATGCTAGACTATTTTTTCCATATAAGGACCTCAAGAATGAAGCTGTTCTTATCTGTTTCTTTTAAACCTTCACCAGTTCAACCTGTTTTAAGATACATTACTTGTGCAGACTGCTGTATGGACCCTGCTCAAAGACAAGTGAAGGATATCTCGCCGTCAGCCTTTGTTGCCCTAATATAGAGTTCTGTGGTTGAGGGGCACTTGAAAGGTATCAGTAGGGCTATTTTTAATCTCAGCAGAGTGTTCTTAGAAAATTCATTTGTAAGGAGACAGGAATGGTTTTATTTCTAAACCTGCTCTAAGACGTGGTAGTGACAAAAGTCTCTCCTAAACATGTATTAGGATTTTATTTCAAAGAAATTCTATGATAAAGGCAACATAAATGACTTCTCTAACTTCCAAAAACATCTTTTGCCACCTTATCAACATCTTATAGCTCTCATTTGAATGACCCTCAAATGATTAAGTTATAGTAAAAAACGCTCGTGATTTAGTCTTTTCTTGTGTTTGTATTCATTTTATTCAATTATATATCTCCCTTGGAATAGCTAGCACAATAATCCTTTCTTAGAAAGAATGATACCTGCAGATGAGGTGTGCTGAAACCATCTTAAATTTTGCCTTGCCCTGCATAGAGAAGCTTTATTACATAATTAATGGGAACCTCTTGACATTTCACTGTAATCTTTAATGAGTCAAATTTAATTTTTATAAATAATTTCTTATAATAAGCTTAGGAAAAAAAATCAGTAAAGACTCCTGTTGCCTTTTGCAGAGTAGCAGTATTAAACACCAGCCAAGCTGGCAGCCCTGTTTGGCTGGCTTTATTTTTTTTTGTCTTTTTTTTTTTTTTTTTAATTGGTTGGAAACAGAAGCGCTGAGGTACTAACGGGCCAACTCCTGTACCTGTTCTTATTCATGCTGTTGGTGTGGTTCCAGAGAATGTTTATCCCTTCTTGTAGAGGGACCAGGAAGACACACTTGAGGCCAGTAAGGCAGTTTATGCCTTTTTAAATATTCCATTGGGATGGGATGAAATCTAGCAACCTTTACCTTAATCCTCCACACTCAATTTGCAATTATTTTGTTCAGACTTTACAAGCCTCAGTAATATTCTCTCAGACCACGAGAGGCCTCCTGGAAACTTATTTTAAAATCCATTTAAAATTACCGTGTGAAGGAAAAACTGTGAAATATGCTGTGTGTGTGATTTATGACAGGAGTATAGTCACACTGAACCTGCTTCTGCTCCCCAAGCATGACAAAAACTGGGCTCTCTTCTGTCAAAAAAGCAACATTGAGGAAATATTCCTCATCCCTATAACAGAACTGATCTAATTTTAAGGTGATAAATCCACCTGGTAATCTTCTGATCTCAGTACAGTTGTGCGTGCGTTTCTTTTTTTCCCTGTCATGTGTGCACGTTGGCATTTACATTGTCAAGTGCTGACTGCATTAAGGACATGAGAGATACTACTCATGAACTAAACATGTTTTTATTTGAAAAAAAAAAAAACACTAAATCCGATTTCCTTTAGTACTGCCACCTCAGCGTGAGGAGGGCAGCAGCACTTCTATGCTCAACCTGCTTCGAGCTTCGGAAAGCCACGGGCGGGCCCCGGCCGCGGGCCCTGTGCCTCGCCTCAGCGCGGCGCGGGAAGGGAGAGGGCTGGTGCGCCGCCATTTCGCGGCGACGGGACCGGCCCCGGCGGCGACGGATCGTGGAGATTTTCCCCCTTTCCTCTCCACGTACGTGTCCCCATGTCCTGATGGGGACAAACCAGGCTGCCCCGGGAGCGGGGTGGCTGCTACATGGGGCGGGAGTCCCCTGGCATCCCGCCGGTGGTGGTAAGAGAGCCCGGTCAGCCGTCCCCAGAAAGGCGCTGAGGGATACTTGTCACAACGGGGTTCTGTCACTGCCCGACCGTCAGGTGCTAGCGTTTAAGGGAGAATTAAAGTGCATTAAAAAAAATCGCAGACATGAAGTTAAGCTTGTGAGTGGCCTGAAGAGGAGCTCAGTTTTATGCTTTTTCAGTAAGATTTGGGTAGTGCTTTAAAATTGGATTAATTAGTAAGAAAATATGTGGTGTAGTCATAGAAGATCCAAATCTTCATTACTGAGGCGTTTACTCAATTTTAGAATTGCACTTGAAGGATTTATTTTATTTTATTTTATTTTATTTTATTTTATTTTATTTTATTTATTTATTTTATTTTATTTTATTTTATTTTATCTTTTTTGTTGTTGTTGTTTAGTTAAGCATGGTACACTTTGGATTTTGATTTTTTTTTTTCTCTCTCCTGAATTTTATATGGTATTTTTCCTTTTATTGTACTTTTATGAAGTGATGGTCAGCCATTAACTCATTTTACTTTTATTTTTTCTCTTGTAGAATAACAGTCAAGATCTGCACTTGTAAAAAACAAACAAACAAACAAACAAAAAACCAAAACGGATTGCACTTAAGAAAATTAGGAGTTCTGGTAAGGATTGACACTTTAATTCCATTTTATGGCTTCTGTAGAGGCTACTGAGCGAAACTTCCCTTGGCCAGGACAGTATTTCCTTATCAGATTTAGATGTAACATTTAGACAACAGCGGTTAGTAGACTCTTTTTTTTTTTTTAATTCTGTGGTCTTTGTTGATAATGTTTTTACACTTGGTTATACCTTGCTAATTTGAAAAAATAAAAGGGAAAAAAAGGAAATGCCTTCCTCAGCCCTTCTAACGGTACATAACAACTGAAGGTGTGAATATTTGCTATTACATTCAGAGACCATAATTCCATCTGATTTTGTAGCAGAGGAGATCCCCCCACAAGAAAGTATTAATTAAAACCATAATTTGTCAAGTTGCCTTACAGGTGTGATAGGGAAAAATTGAAATACTTTTATTGTCCTTAACCAGCTACGTTTGGGAGAAGCTGCTTGGTCTATGTAGCTTTAATTAGATTGGGATGAAAGTAATTTATATATTTATTAACAACATGAAGTTAATGATCAATTAATTAAATATGTAGTAAAGATCAGTAATAGAACAAATAAACCGCAATACTAGGTGACTGGAAAAAAGTAATAAACACCCACAAATTTCTAAAGATTCTTCTAGAACTTTTGCTAGGAAGTTCTGATCTTGCATGCACAGCTTCTCCCTCTTCCAGTTTTCACTGTGTGAGGAGTGACTTGAATTTTCATTTTTGAGGATTCACATTTTTAGAAATCATTTTTAAAAAATTAACTTGAGTGCACTACTTCTTTTGTAACTTCAGATTTGTACTTGTGTTTATATGTGGTAGAATTTTGTATTTGAAGACTATTCAAACAAAATTTCATGAAAAATGATTGACATTTTGAAAGCATAAATTTGCAGCACACTTCTTTTTACAGTGGAAATAAATGTTGACTTGTGAAAGTACTGCTCTTCCTAAAAGCATTATGCTCCCGTTGAATAGCTAAAAATCAAGTGGAAAAATCAATTTTCGTGGTGACTTTTGATTCACTTTTGTACTCTTGCAATCTTGTACCCTATTACAGCATGAAAGCACTCTCTTTGTGAAACACCTTTCTGATAATAGAATGCATTTGGTATAGCACCTGATTCTCTTCAGGATAAACTGTCCTTTGTAATCTAAGCTCTTGCAATTCAGTCTCTGCTTTTCAATAGACAGATCCCACAGTTGCTGCGTTGATCCTTTAAGACCACTTAGCATTCTGCTAATAGGTAATAAAGTTATTTGTAATACAGAACGCATCTCTGACTTTTACATGTGATATGTGTCTTATTTTTAAAATAATAGTGTTGCTTAGAAGAAGAAAGAACAAGACAGTGTAAACTCGCTTGTTTTTTTCCATCATTTTTATTTATTTGTCAAATAATAACAATGTATAGCAGAAAAACGTTGACCTTGTGAAAGTTAACTTTGGTTTCAGTAGACTATCTTTCTTTGTTCTGATACTGTAATAAAATAACCAAAATACACATCTAATTAAATAAGTGGTTTTATTATGAAGGCATAATTGCTTGTGTAGTGCAACTAACATGCTGTGTCGGACACACTTTTCCTTCTCTACTGGCATGTTGGAGGTAGGGGAGTAGTGTTACTTCTGTTCTTTGTGTTGTGTTTTCAAAAGCATAATGCTTCCTGGATTAATTTAATCTTCCCACTTTCTCTTGTACTGTGATTTCATGAAAAAATACTTTCTAGCCAGAGACTACTGGAGATCTAGAAAAACCTCAACCCACAAATTCTATTCAAAATGGTAGGTGAGAAGATATACATACCATACATGGATTTTCAAAAGCCTTCAGTAATAATTGATGACAGTAAGTTCATTGCATTTATTACATGCTTTTATATATATATATATTTGTGCAAATAATCTTCCTCTACATCTTTCATCATTTCATTTGATGTCCGAAATTATCTCTGTACATTATTGTGATATCTCTATTGTTTGCAGAAACATCAAATACCTGGAAGTCTATGCAGGTGTCTTTTCAAAAACTAGAAAAACAGTAGTGGGTAATTATCACAGAATCACAGAATTTCTAGGTTGGAAGAGACCTCAAGATCATCAGATAATCTATTCTCTATATAAAGCACAACAGTAGCCTAACCCATAGATTTTCAAATGGTGTGTTTCAGACGTGGTTCTATAAAAGTCTGCTCAAGAGCGTAGAAGTGGGCACTTCAAGCATTAGTGGTAAAAGCAGGAGGAATGAAAATTACTTTCTGTTGTGCAGAGATTGACATGACGAAAGGTGATTCAATATTAGAGATAATCCATTAGTATTTCATTATTCTGAGCTACTTGTTTCTTATGAAGCATCTCAGAAGTCTGAGAAAAAAAATGGAGAGAAAACTGCAAAAGTGGGGAATTTATGCTAGTTTCAGACATTAGGAATGGATTGGTTTCACTTGTAATTTTAGTACTTGTTTTTTCAGACATCTTATATATGTAATGGGGAAATTTTTTATCATTCTTTCCCTGACTATCTTCACATGCAAACAGGGACAGTGAAACTAAAACAGATGTATGAAAGGAGGGAAACATCGTCTGAAAATACGCTGAGTAAGCAGGGCACTGCAATACACCCCTACCTCCCAATACACATGTATCAAATCACTTTTAAGGTGATCAGGATTCTTTAGTGTAACTGAAATTATCCTTCGTTAATTTCTTCATTTTTCTTCTCTTCAAATTCCACTCTGATGCTGAGACAGAATGGGAGAAAGGATTTAGTGTTGAATTCACGAATTGACTAACTTATAGCACTTCCATTTTTATAAAGTCTCACAAGAGATGCAGTGTAATTTTAACAATGTTTGATTAATGCACAGAAATTGTTGATACTACTTAGCTCTATATTAATAAATAGCATACCTTCTATATGGAATGCTTATAATGAGTTAAATAAAATAAACAAAGGACTCTTATTCTTACGGATTTATACACAATGCACAGTGTATTGAAGATTAAGACCCGTGAAATGCTGGCTTTAAATCAAACAGTCTTGCAAGAATGTGATCACAGGATAATTATTAAAAGCAGACAGAAATCATAATATGCACCCCCCCCCCCCCCTCAGACTATCAAAATTCCATAAAGTCTATAACATGCATAACTAAAGATGAATTATTCTGAGTCATACCTTGGCTTGCAGATTAATTTAGATTCAGAGTCTTACTGAGGTACTGGAAGATGAAAAATATGTAAAATTATGTTATCAGACAGTAAAGGAAGAAAATTTTAAATTGAGACCTGGTGCTGGAGGGGAAATATGGAATCTTTGTCATGGTTGTTTTGATCTCTGCTGATACTAAGGAGATTTAATGTTGAAGCAAGCTTTAGAAGATGATAAAATTGAGTTTTGAGCCATGTCCGTGATGTACAGTATTGCACTGAACAGAAGTACTTGTGGTAGCTGTTGTACTGAAAGTAGTGTATGTGCCTTAAGAAGGTGCTACATATACATTAGGTAGGCTTTTCAGAGTTCTTAGACCAAGTTCATTAGAGCTGCATTGCTTGCTTCCAGAACCCAAATGAGCAAGGATATCAGGGTGTGCTGTGTGCTAATCCCTGATTCAGCACTGAGTGAAATATCAAACCCTGTGTAGAAATATCTTCAGGCTTGCTATACTGAAGACAGATCTCTGCCAATGTCTGTTCTACAGGTCACTTTCACAACTCTTCCTGTTTTTGATGAACATTTAAACTGTTGCCATATAAGTTTATACTGACAAATAGATACATTCGTAGTGGCTTTGCTGAAAATGTTTAGTCAATATCCTTTACAGTGGTGTAAACATGTGACTTTTTTTCCTGTCCTTTTCAGTAACAAATTATCAGTGTCTACCTGAAAATTGTTTGCAATGTAGCAGGTAGTATCTCTTACGTATGTCTAACAGCTAGTGACTGGAGTAATTGAAAGGAATTAAAAACTTTCAAGCGCAAAGTATGTATGAGGCTGCACCTCGAGTACTGTGTTCAATTTTGGGCCCCTCGCTACAAGAAGGACATCGAGGTGCTTGAGCGGGTCCAAAGAAGGGCGACGAAGCTGGTGAGGGGCCTGGAGAGCAAGTCCTATGAGGAGCGGCTGAAGGAGCTGGGCTTGTTCAGCCTAGAGAAGAGGAGGCTCAGGGGTGACCTTATTGCTCTGTATAAGTACATTAAAGGAGGCTGTAGAGAGGTGGGGGTTGGCCTGTTCTCCCATGTGCCTGGTGACAGGACGAGGGGGAATGGGCTAAAGTTACACCAGGGGAGTTTTAGGTTAGATGTTAGGAAGAATTTCTTTACTGAAAGGGTTGTGAGGCACTGGAACGGGCTGCCCAGGGAGGTGGTGGAGTCACCATCCCTGGAAGTCTTCAAAAGACGTTTAGATGTAGAGCTTAGGGATATGGTTTAGTGGGGACTGTTAGTGTTAGGTTAGAGGTTGGACTCGATGATCTTGAGGTCTCTTCCAACCTAGAAATTCTGTGTGTCTGTGTGTGTCTGTGTATACCTCAAAAGATTACCCGCGTTACGTTACTCACAATTCAGTGTTTTAGGTAGACCTCTGTTCCAGTGGTAAATAACCTTCTTTAGCAATACCAAGTCAGACACACGTTATCTACCTTAATTTCTGTATTACCTAGCAAGTAATCTGATTCTGTTGTAACAGCTTAACACGAAAAATACAACCTTGCTTTTCTGTGTAGTTAGCAGATGGAAATAAAGAAAGTGTTAGATAAAGGGGAATATATATATATTTTTAGATGCCCATTATTGTTGTTACTTCACTGCAGTATTAGTGTTATGCATAATGCTCATGCAATTACCTCTGACATCCAGTTTGCACTCTATTTCAGCTTCACCACACTCATTAACAGCTTTACAGGTGTAAAAGCCCCCATCAAATGGAGTGGGTTTCCGGATCTCCAGGGTCAACACACCCTGTTTACTGAACATGCGGTATTTGGCGTCCCCAGAGAGATCCACTTTGTTTTTGTACCAGTATATCTTTGGCTGAAGAACACACAAGAAAAAAATTAAAATAGAAAGCAGAAAATGAAAGACTTACGGTCTAGCAACTTTAATTTAGCCACAAAAGGTCTATGCGTTACGAGGACTGTATATTACATGGCAATGTTAATTATTTTTCAAGGAAATTTCAAGGAATTATCTTCTGAATGAGCATTATTCTGCTCATTCAGACTCATGCAACTAACGATTCAAGAGTTCAGTATTTTCTTTAACTCTTCTAATAACATGTAGAACATGTAGCTCTGTACCCTGTCTTACTGCAATTTTTATAACCCTTCACTAGCTACAAATTCATTCCTTCAGGCATTATTTTATTATGCATATTAAAATATATTTGAATGCTTCAGGTATCTTACATAAGGAGAATTTAACTGCATAGACTATCAGAGCACAATTGTTAGAATGTGTCCAATTTGGGATGCCTTGGTTTGCTCTGGGAAAAGGTTTTCCAAGTCATTTAGCACACCATTAGCAATTTTAGCATTCAAAGTTTTATTTAAAGAAACTATTTTTTTTTTTTTTAGTTATTATTTTTCCCTGACTCAAATGTTTTTCATCCTTTTCTATAGAATTTCTATCTTTCTGGGCATATGTCTTTTATTTCAGCACTGCTATCAGGGCACAAATCTCTCTGCTGAAGTGGTGACTGTCATGCCATACAGGTCATACTGTGCCGTACAGATACAGGTAGACTTAATCTGCACTCAAGATTGGAAAGGTCTGCCAACATAAGCTACTCTGTGAAAATGTCCTACTGATGAGTTCTATGTTAGGTACAGAAGTTTTTTTTTGTTATGGTTAATTTGGGCAATGCAAATACAAAAATGTATCTGGAAAAGCTGCTTCAAGACAATGAGGTATGAAGGATGAGGACTATTTGTATTTTGGGCTAGTGTGGCAGGAAGAGTTAGCAAGCTTATGTTTAAAAGCCTCAGAGTACTGTACTGAACAGCTGTAGAATATGAAGTTTTTCTTACAATCTTACTTAAAACTATGCACACATAATGAAGTGCATATAGGCAATCAAACAGGTCAGCTAAGCAAGAGGGAACATCATTCCTAATGCTGTAATTTCATGATTAATCTAAGATAAGGCAGCTACTGGAAGATGGATTTTGCCCATACTTGCTCATGTTTCTTCTTCTATACTGTTCTTGTTATTTTGCAGCTATTTATGTGGCTGTGCTTTTTTATATTTGATTTTTGTCTGGAGCTCCTTCTTCATCCAGTGAACTGAGCAAATGATTGTGTTAATCTCATTTTTTCTTTTTCTTTTTTTTTTCCTAAGTTAAATTGAACAAGCTGCGATCTTACATGTTTTGCTGTATAGCTGTGAAATCCGTGTGCTGGCATGAGGAAGGGAGAGGAGGTGGAAATAAGCAACCAGAAGGGGGAAGGAAAAGTGCACTGCATTTTTTGTTATTTAGATTTATGACAAGATTATGTCATAATACGGTAAATTCCTTCGCTGCAGACGAAAAGTCTATTTCCCATTTTTGAGAAACCTAAATTTAGCACCTAGCTCATACAGTGCTTACTGCTTGTTGCTGACTCTAACAAACAAAAAGTACATCTTTCTGTGCTCTCTGCAGAGGTTTCAACAGATATGAGTGAGAAAATATTCCTCTGAGATTCAAAACAAAAGCAAAAAACAAAAAAGACCCCTCTCCCTCCCCCCATCCCCCAAAAAAAACCACTTTACACCTCCTGAGTAATTTTACAAAATAACTCATCAGACTCTCAAAACGTGATGTGGGTGTATTGATACAACAGAAAAACTGGTGATCCTCTGCATTACTTAGGTTAATAGGACAGTATGACATTAACTGCTGCTTTCTTGAAAGACTAGAGAGAAAAATAATATGCATTGTGGCAAGATGCATACATACATATATATATTTACTTTTTTTTATCATCCTTAGAGAGTAGATTTTATATACATACTGTAAATGGCAGGCTTAGCATAAGCTGTGACTCCTTCTCTGTCTTTTCCTCTGTCTCCCTTGGTGTGTTGCCCCCCCTACTTGTTCTTCCCATTCTGCCTGTATTGCCCTCTCTAGCTCACTGTGTTCGGTGAACTCGTTGAGAGAAAACAGATGATAACCTAAGAAGAAGATATAAAGATACTCCTGTGGAGCATTCCCGTGTTCTGGTTCTGCACACAACCACACAAATGCTATCTCTAGGGGTGATAATTCAGGGACATTTACATTTTCTTAATATAGTTACTTTAACTTCGCTAACTGGCATGAAATCCAAAGGCAGCTTCTTAGCCTGGCGAAACAATATCAGTGACAGTTGATGTATCTTGTACCTTGGGGATTCCTCTCACAGCACAGCTGAGCGTGGTGTTGTATCCTGCAATCACAGACCGGTTTACTAAAGGATGAGTGAATTTAGGAGGTTCAGAGAAGTCATGTTCTTTGTAACAAGGCGGCTTGTAAGTGGTGCCTGCAATTCAAAGAAACAGAATAGTAAGCACTGTGTTTGCAGTTCTGATGACTTTCTGTACCACCCGGTTGCCTTTTTTATTTGCCTGTTTGATTTAGGGAAGCTTGAAAGCTCTGACATTAGTGATGAAATAAATCTTTAAATGTAGTTAACTTTAAGTACATTTAACGCTTTAGTTAAAATAAAAGGTTCTGGCTATGATTGGATTTCTGCTTTTGTTAAAAATGTGAAAACCATGACTGCAGGGGGAAGTCTTCACCACAGAGATCTTGCACTTTTAACCCTAGAATGCAAGTATAATCTCCTAGTTGGATTATATTCTTAAAATAATACAGTTTAGGAAGACAGTGTGTTTAAATATTTTTAAAGAGATGTTCATGTTAGTACAGAAACCCTACCTGGTCAGGGTTGTTGATGCCAAAATACCTCATACGTGCTAGCTACTAAGTAATGAAAACACTTCTGGTAGTGCATCTAGTAATATTGTATTTTCCATTTAGTAATAGAATCAGAGAATCTTTGCTTTTAAAAGCTTTTACAATCTTTGTTTTGAATAATAAATGTTACCTGTTTTTTGGATATAGGCAGGATTTTTAGTGGTTGCAGCAGTTTCACTCAATCCACACAAATTTTCACTGAAGACTCGAAAAAAATACTCATTTCCCATAATGAGTTCTGACACTACACAGTTTGTGCGACGGTAGTGATCAAAAACGGTATACCATTCCTGTAACGAGACCGCACTGTTTAGAAAGATGTTGTAAGAGGTGAGACGTGCTATGGAGAGATCCTTCTTACTGAAAAGAAAGGATGGGTAGACAGGTATTTAAAAGTAGCTTGGGAAATGAACATTGTGTTCCTCCCTGTTCGTCTGTTTTCTGGCTGATGTGGTAGCTGTATAAATACCTGCATTTTGAGGAAAAAAAAAAAAAAAAAACTCTTTACATTTCAACTCTACTCATTTGGGGAACTTGATGCAAAGTGTCTCCTCAGGCCATGACACCTTGATGGGGCCTTCCCTGAGAAGAGACATTTTCCACTTTCACTGACATACAGGACTGCCAGCAGCTGAGTTTCTTCCTCCCCTTCAGTTTCTCCGTGCATTTGTCAAAAATATAATTCAAGGCAAAAAGTATAATTCCACCTTCTAAACAGTTATCTGTCCCTTCTAAAGAAGGGTCATGAATTTAGCAGTTTTCCTTCAATCTCTGTGTTCTCAGAGTAAGCAGTTAGGGTGCAATTTCTTACCATTGTCTTTTTGTCAGCTTTCTGGACTGTGTAGCCCAAGATCTGTGCATTGCCATCATCTTGTGGGGGTGTCCACTCCAGGGCAGCATTAAATCCCCAAACATCTGTAAGCTTTATATTCTGAGGAGGGCCAGGCTTGTCTGCAGAGGAGACATGAACAAACCTTTGCTTCTGGTTCAAGAATGGACAGTGTTGTCATTTCCTTTCGTGCAGGGGAAAAATAGAACTGGAGAGCAATCTGTAATTGTTCCTTAGCAATATACTTCATTTATGTGAAGTTGAAACTGTAATCTGCTAAAATGGGAAGTTTTCAAGTGTCCTTCTTAATAGTATTCTAGGAGGTCTGAAGCATGCTGAGAAATGTATAGACAACACAGTGGACATAGGAATGAGACAAACTTTTCGTAAAAATTGATAAAGAAGTTTGTGGTATTTGGATGGGCGTGATCACTCTCTTTACTACAGTTTTATTACTTGCTTTTTAACCTAAGTGCAATTTTGCGGTCACTTAGGTTCACTGAGAGTAGTAACAACAAAAGACCCGGGTCTATATTCCTCTTAACAAAGGGAGGGCAGTCATTTGGGACTGTCTGGACAATTCGTTTGTGACTTTTGATTGGAAAACAGATAGCATTAAAAAAGAACAGGTCTACATTATGTTTGGAGAAATAAAACTGCAAGCCTTGTGTCTTGCCCAGCTTTTAAATGACCTTTTCTGAGCCATCACTGAAAGCTAGATGAAAGGCCTTAAAATCCTTCGATTTCACCAACTGATGTTTTAGAGTTGATCATAGCATTTAGGGGCAACAAAGAGATACCCTTTTTGAAAGAAAGTGCTCTGTTGCTGTGTACTACTGATGAGGCAGTGCATCAACAATACAAGAGAGCCTGTTGAGAAATGGCAGAATGACTGTCCTAGATATTCTTTTCCTTATAAAATTGCTACTAATTTGTTTTTGTTCTTCTCCAGAGATGTGCAGCTGAGGGGTCTTACCAGACTAAACACTGCCACCATTCATATTATGCCTGACTGGTCGCTGGCAATTCCTGTGTGAAGCTGGGGGAATGCTGTGGTATGCAGGCAGGTCTCCTGACACTGTCAAATTGAAAAGAATGCTCACCTCTGCTCATTTCTGTCAGCAGTCACTGTGGCTGTCACCTCTGTTTCCCAAAGCTGCAGAGGGAGAGGGTTCCAGAAAACTTGCTGGCAAGCTAAGTAGGGTGAAGTGGTTTCAACAAAGAGATGTGTTTAGAATATTGAATCTAGTCCTGTACTGACAATATCTGTCCATCTTCTGGGGGTTTCATGCAGGTAAGACTGCTAGACTTAATAGCAGCACATAATGTAAGATTTTCTGAAGAAAATACGTTAAAGCTCTCTTTGCTGTGATTACCAGTGGCTCTCTATACCTTTTTGAAATCCATATACTAGATCGTTGTCATGCATATTTTAAAATGAACAAGGAAAGCAAAACAAAGCTTTCTGTAGAAATGTGCTTGGCAGGATTTTGATGCTGGGATGAAAGCCAGGATGATAGCTTGTACCTAAGATAAAACTTGACAACCTTCTGGTCAAGTTTTAGAATGCGTTGAGAATCTGTTAATATCATTTAATTTCTCTGCACAGCAGAGTTTTTAGTTTACTCATAGGACACAGCACAAAGAAAAGAATTGGGATACTAATAAAAACTTTCATCTAGTTCTAGCCAGATATACTTTAATATAACTTATTAAAGAGATGCAATTTTATATAACACTGCTATAATCCAGAATTTTCCTAACCCTTGAACTACTTCATTAACTCCAAATTCCTCCTTACTGTCCCCGTAGTGAACTTTTCATGCATGTGAATTCCTGATGGTGAAGGACCACTGTAAGTGGTTTGAGGTCCATGATGTTTAAATTCTCTATAGACGCCTTTAATCTAGTTCTCTGGTGGCAACAGTTGCAGGGAACTCAACTCAATAACCCGGTGATCTTTTCCAATCCTACGCACTATAATAATCCTGCAACCTATAAACAAGGACAGCTATGGAGTACCACAGCAGGTATTGAAGTTCTTGTTTCATACATAAAAATAATTTCTGAACTGAAATTAAATCTGCAATAGCATGGTCTTCTGTGTGGAATATAACTCATTTTGAAAGAAGGAACTCTGTTAGAAATCTGACACAAGCAGATTAACGTTGCTATCATTGGATTGGTTTGAAAACCAATGGGGAGGGACCCTGGCAACAAAAAACTGTACTATTTTTAAGGGTCTGCTAACCTCTTTAACCTGTATAAAAAGTTAATAAGATTCTCACAAAAACCGTTGTATTCACTTTGCCACAAGTATGCCTCGTCAGTTGGTCTGATTTTTTTCAGAAGACAGTCAAAGATCTAGGTGTGGGTTGACACCAAGCCATAACTCCATCAGCTATGCTGTTGAACCCTTCTACTTAGATGTATTACATCCCCAGTAATGTGACCAAAATGGTCCCACTGGTAGCAGGGAATATTTTTATTTTTTTTTCTGTAGAAGTGGAAAGTTCATGGTGGGATTTTTGGATCCGTGTTACTTGATACTGCTGATTTTGACTATACTGCCTAAGAGACAGGACACAAATCAGCTTTGGAGTCCTTGAAGAGTTTCCAAATCCTTTCACAATTTGTACTGTTAATGAGCACGCAAATCTGCTTCTTTGTCTGAAAAAATATTCAGACTAATTGATTTTCTGACCCATCTTTTTAATATGTATGCACAGTTGTTATGAACAATATATCATAGCATAAGCAGTACTTACACTGCTATATCTGGCTTTTTCGTTGTGTATCAGTGCGTGTTAGCTTGCCTGCTAATGACATTTCTTTCTAATAACTAGTAAAAGAGCAACCTCTCGAAGTACAGAATGCTGTATCTGTTAAGATACATGGAAATAAATAGAATAATGCTATAATAATTTTCTTTTTTCCCTTCTTTTTAGGACCATTCACATTTATAGCAATTTTGTTTAGGCAATCTGTTTTAATTTGGAGATGTTAGTTCTCCTTTTTGGTATGCTAAACTGTTGCTCACAATTGCAGGGTCTACTGGGGAGATGATTATTAGGCTTGGATGGTATTGTGAAAAAGTGAGCGACAGCTAGGGATAATTCTGGATATCTGAATGAAAACTGTCTCCTCTTCCTGTAGCTAAGCTGTAAATTAATCAAAGCCAAAAAAATGACAAATGATCAAAAGAATGCAATTACAGATTGCTTTTAATTTAATTCCATAAAGAAGGATATGTAAAACAGTAATAATCTAGTCTTTGACTGTTAATAGGTGAACTGTTACTTTCTGTGTCAAAGCATGACATAATTTTCTTTTCACTGACACATTTTGGAATCAAAGACTGTAATTAGCTGTAATCCTTTTTGTCTTCTTCCAAACTGCTAAGTATTGAAGCCAACTAGCTTCAAGCATGGAATTAAATAAGGAACATAGAATGCATTGCTCTTGTTCCATTTATTATTCTCTTCCTTTCTTTAGTTTACACTAAATCTGTCAGAGAAAAAGTTGCTGCCTTCTGTGTTGCTTAACTGCTACCAACTCCAGGTGGAGCCCTCTTTCTTTTTCTTCCCTGTTTCTGAGGAGGGAATGGTAACCTGCATTGTCAAAGGAACAACATTGCCTATGACAATGTGGAAATGTATCTGATCTTATCTTGAATCACACATACAAAAAAAAAATCTTGATCTATTTCTAGATGCGTATCTTCATTCTGTAGAAATCAATTATTCTGATTTGAAGTTAAGAATTTTGGATACTATGTATGAATATTTATGTGGGTATGAAAAATGGTAACTGCAGCAAGCAAAGTGTTATAATGTAATAATAGATGGATGTTATGACTTTAGCTATTTGTTAATTATTGTCAAGTTGTCCTACTGTTATAGCCCTCCACAGTATCTGGCTAGTTTTACAAGTATTCTTTCTGCTAACTTACCTATAGATGCATCTACACAACAGATTTTTGTTTTAAAGGGTTGCTTACACAATGCAAATGAGTAGCATGGAAAAGGTGATTAAATGATTTTTTGTGGTCTTTCTCTTACAAAACTGTATGGATGTCAGATGAGATTTTCAGAAGAGAGACTCGAACTGAACCAAACCAGGTAGTTGTACACGCATTTAAATTGTGAAATTCTGTACAAAAGCATATTTGGATTCTGAAACTAGACACAGATTCAAAAGCTGACTGGCTAAAATCCTGTAAGAAAATTTCCCTGAGGAGCTCTTGGAGATAATCCTCCCTCAGGCAGGAAGTCTCTAGGACACAGATCATTCCAAGCTGGAAAAATGTAGGAAAACCAAGTGACATGCTGGCCCTGCTCTGAGCTTTGCCGCAGCCACCTGCTGTCAACCACTGTCAGAGAAGGGGTCCTGAGGTAGACGGCTCTTTGGATTGCACCAGTATGGCAACTAATTCGTATGATATGCTTAATTCTGGTGATGTCATGTGCTTACCTATGATTTGTATTGTTATTGCAACTTTATCGGTCATGTTTTCTATTTGAAGAGTGATTTCATATGCTCCTGAGTGGTGAAGCTCTGCCTTTCTGATGAAAAGGATTGTGTCCGTGTTGCTGTTCCGAATGCCCACATCTTTGGCGTCTAGACTTTGACCATCTTTTGTCCACGTTATTTTGGGTCTAGGTTTCCCCTGAAGAGAAAAAAGGATATTTTTAGACTATAATAGGTTGTCATTTTTCACTTTTCTGTTTTTTAGTGTTCTGTAAGTTTAGGAAGCCTAACTTAATATGCAAAGCTGAGTTACTAGAGTCTCTAAACACTTTCTAGTTTCTGTTTTCTTGCATACAAATATCTGTTCTCATCTGTGGGATTTAGTGACACAGTGACCTGAGGATGCCATGTATTTAGAGAGGAGATCGAAATCATATTGAGAGCACAACCAGCACACCCAGAAAAAAAATACTTGTGCTGGTTTTTATATTATTTCCCAGGCATCTCTGAAGCCAACAGTTGATCTGTCTCACCCTGATGATTGTTAAGGAATGGAAGTCTTTAATATTTGAGGAGTTAATTAGTTGTTTGCTCCTTTCCTCACTCTCCCATAAAACATTTGAATCTTTATCCCCTGGCATTTTCAATATCTTTCAAAACATTGCTATAATTTTGAAGTCTTGAGGTGTGAAACTTACTGTATAGTTGCGTAGCAAAATTCTTTTTCTGGCTGTTAGTATAGACAGACAGTGTTGCCATACCTATGAAAGATGGTGTTGTGTAATCAGACAGCTATCTGTGGTTTACAGCACTGTCAGTCAGCCACTTCTGGGAAAACTGGTAGATAGTAGTCAGTTCTTCTGAAGTTTTGAGTGCTACTTCTGTAGTATGTTTCCACAACAAGAATCCCAATAAAACAGAAATGGGGCATAGTGTGTTTATTAACTCTATTTATGGCCAATCTAGGAGAAAATATTTTTTTATTAAAATATATATATATTAAAAATTTTATTTTTGAAAGTTTTTGCCAGATTGGCAGGTTGAAACGGTGCAGCACAGGGCTACAAATGCCAGAAGTAGCTCAAATGGATGGGGAGGGAAAGTGAGACCGTCCAAGCAAGCAGTTGGGTCAGGTTAGGCTGCCCTGTAACTGAAGCCCAAAGCACTGAGGTTAGGACATGTATTTGTCACCATCTCTAGAAAACAAGAAGAGAAAGCACCTTTAGAAGTCTCTTCAGTTCACTGGGTGCTTGGAACATACTTTGAAAGACTGTGTCTTTAAAAATAAATCTGTGTGTTTTGCTGCTGCCCCTTTGTTCTAGGCTTGTCTGCTACTTGCTCAGAAAGACTTTGCAACATCATTTCATTTTTCAGTAGTATTAGGAAAAAAACCACCCTTCTTTCATATGAAATAAAAAACAAAACAAGCCAAAACCAGAGATCTGTCCAAAATTGCACTTAAAGGGATTCTAAACCACCTAAAAAAATGCTGTTCCTTAATGGACACTCTCTTCTCTGGAGTCTGAATCATCTGATGCTGTATCGTGATTCATTTTGCATCAGGGTTAATAATAAACCTTGAATGGTTTTTGATCTTCCATTTTCCCCATTTGCTAACTGGTTTTCATCCTGTTTTCTGTCAGGGATTATATTTCCATCTGGCCTGTAGCTCTGAAATATTAGGTGTAAGGCTGTTCTGTCCTGTTCTGGTGTACCTTCACCCTTCACTTAGAACACTCTTAAAAAAAACCTGTGAGGTGGCTTGTCTTCTTCAGCTGGAAGCTATAATAGAAATTCTTTAACGAGGAAAATGAAATGTCTGTTTGTTTTCCTAGCCATATCTGATTATTGGTGACACTGACAAGTAATTTATTTTAGGTTCAGCATATACTTTAAAATGATATGAGGAATCTTTTTAAATCATTGACTAGGAGAATGCTTTCAAAGTAGAAAGTCTACTTACAGTGGTATAACTATATGGAAGAGAGGGTTTTTGTTTGTTTAAATTTCTAATTTGATAAATACTTGGCAATTTCTCAGACCGATTACAAGATCGAATAGTTCTTGATTGATATTATAAGGAGAACAGAGGATCTGGCACGAAATTTCTCGGTAAAAATGGTCATGAGGAATGATACCATTACGAAGTATCCTTTTTCATTATTTTATTGTAAGAAATGTATTGCCTGTAAAGCAAGCTGTGCAACTGCTGTTGCTCTAGTGTGGTTGATCAGATGCTTTCATTATAGGTCTTTTTGAGGTGCTGTGAGTGGCAATGAAAGATTACAAGTGTTCACAGTGTTGGTTTTCATATAGTCTTATATTTATAGGCTGTGAGAAGCATAAACAGATAGAAAGCACGTTCCTAATACACATCACAGAGGATTGGATTTCTGTAATGTGTAATAGGTAACATGAGAGAGAGCAGCGAGTGACAGAGTTGGTAAATAGCACACCAAAGTATCCTCAGGGAGTTTACTGTAAGGGAATGGCAAATTTATGTGCTTTTAGATATTTATATTTACACATACATGATAGACAAAGATATTGCTGAGTAATACTGTGACTCTTACCCACTAGCAGCATGTAATACTCCCACCTTTCTAATGCACTCAACAGAAAAATACATTGATAAATAATAATGTTGTACATGTCTTTCTCTGAACATTTTTATCTAAAGATTTGAATAGGTTTGCAAATAGAGTTTAGCTCATGATACTTTGGCAAAATATGTAATAGAAACTCAGTTTTAAATGACAAAGTAGTGACCACAGAAGCCAGACAATTTTGACAGGTTGCACAAAAATTGTAAATAATAGAAGACTAAGCTACTCTTTGGCTAGATAGTATACTTCCTGCTTGTGTTCAGTGCCTCGTGGTTTCAAAGCAATTCCGGTATTTCTGTATTTACTACTATATGCTCTTTGCAATTTAAAGGTTGCAATAATATCTATTTAGGGCCTTCTTCCTCGGTAAAAATGGTCAGTAACTAAAACTTTCTTTCGAAATAGAGACAATTAAATGTTCTTTTTGCATTGCTTTTTTTGAAAGATGCTCAGTTTTAAGTACTCTTAAGAAGCTTTTAAGATATTAAGAATTGCTTAAGAAGAGCTACAAATTTATTTCAGTTGTTCTTGAATTAAAATCCTCTGGTTTTGCTCTCTGGCTAAAAATTTAGTGTTGATGGATAGGTGTTAGAATTTTTTGTTAGCCTTACCTTTTTAGGAGACAGAAGTTTATACCACTGCATGATTTGTCTGTCAATCAGCCACTGAAATAACTTTTGAATTACTTGGATTATTTCAGCTAAATCTGGCAGCGGACTAGGAATCTCTTCAGATTAATGTATTACAGCTTTGTGAAAACTGATGACAGGGTGGTGAACAGAAAGCTCAGTGTCCCCACTGAGGAAAAGTCAGGGAAGACTTTGTCTTTATGTATTTAGTTTGGCAACAGCTGAATGATCAGTCAAGGTAAGTGAAGCCCTGGATTAGTTGCAGCGTGTGCTTTCTCTGGCCCAGGGAACTGAGGACATGTCAGTTGGGCTGACTTAGGGAAGGAGGGCAAAGAACTGTCAGTTCCTGGGGAGTATTGCAATGAGGCTGTCCTAAGCGAGAGGGTTGTTACGCTAGGAAGTTCCAGGTATAGGGGACATCAGACACAAATGGATAAACCCATAAACTGTATCACTTCCTCTGCTTAGGAAACAGCTTGTCAATTTTGTGTAAGTTCAGACTTCAGCTCAGACATTAAGGCAGCAAAAATATCAGTTTAATTATTTTTCATAAATTCCAAAATATTTGTGTAACTGAAAAATACACGTAGAATGTTGAACTTTGCATGTGGCTAAACCTCAGTGAAGGGGACGTTTTAGCAATTTTGGAGGTAACTAACATGAAAGGAAAAAATAAACATGATAATGTCAAAGCAGTGCAAGCATGCAATTCAAAGCAGTTACTCCATGTGCTGGTTTGCAACTGTTTACTGATTAGATATATCTCTGTGCAAAAGCAACTTCTCATGTAACCCAGTAACCACAAAGCAAAATACTTGTGATATTTTATATAGATTTTGGTCATATATATCTTTTTTTCTCTGTTGATACTTTCCAAACAAATGAACGTAATGTGAAATATGTATGTCTCTCTTGCTGAAGAAATCTTTTGCATACCTCTAGCACTTTTTAAAACAGAGTTTCAAAACTCTTTGATAATAGTAGTGATGAAATTATCATAAAGATTCATCGTGGACAGCAAAGAAATTTTATTTTTTTCAAATTATGACTGAGGAATAGACTAAATGATACATCGACTATTACAGTAGATCTCTCTCTGAACTGGATTTTATCTGCAGTTTATGATTTCTGTTCCCATGTCTCACTTAGAAGACCTTTTACTTTCGTACATTAATTCTTGTGCTTTATTGAGACTATAGCACCCAAAAAAATGCACGTGGTGTTTTATGAATAGCCATTAAAATTCCTCATACAGCTGTGGAAAAAACAGACAGGGTAGCTGGGTAGGCTTGTCCTAGGTGAGCCTGTGTGAATATATCATCAATTTTGTGCCTGCCATAACAACATGTAGCTACTCTTGACAATACTTACCATGCTATGCCTTTTTTTTTTTACTTTTAACACCTTGAGCTCATGTATATTAATACCTTATTATTAAGAAAACCTAAGGTATTCTTATTGTACACACAGATTCTGTATATGGCTAGTTGTCGTATTCTATTTGCATACAAACTCAATTTTCTGTAATCAGACTTACAGAAATGAATTTACACACTTTTGTCTAAGAAATGGCCCAGTAATATAATATACCCTGGCTTCAGAAGTGTAGTTGCTTGCATTTTTTTTTTTTTTTTTTTGAGTGTGTGTGTATTTTTTTGCGTGTAAGATGTATCCTATGGTCAATTAACAAGAAAAGGCTGTAGAGTTAGAGCAGTTACCTTCTTCACCAAAAGGAGGGTTTTTGGAAGAAACTGGGACAGTAAGATAAACTGACTGAAACCAGAGTTTTTTGTTTTGTTTCTAATGTTTGGGAGATTATTTTTTTTAATCACCAGCCATATTTTGTTTAATACTTTTCAGTGAGTGAAGCAGCAGGAACTCACATAAGGTAAACTTCTTTATGATAATGATAAATAGCTATGACAAAATAGAAGCCAGTACTTACCTGAAAAGGGATCACAATATTGATTGTCTCACCCACTTTCTTCACCAGAGTCTGTCTGAGATGGCGTGGCAGCCAGATTTTAGGGCGCTCTGCAGTTAAGCATTAGTAATATGTTAAATCTCAGGCTTTAGATTACTCGAAATATTACTTATAGGACAAATAAGGCAAAACACTAAAGAGGAGGGGCTTGGATACATGTAAGCGTAAGAAAATTGTGCAAAGACTGTTTATACAGTTGTGGAGCAGATTATGCCCTGAGCACTTTCAAATGCATTTGGCTACCAGATACAATTTTAGTAGCAATGCACAGGTTGCATTGACAGCAGGACTTCTGAAATTGTGTTGCATTCGGAATGGTAGACTTGGCTGACTGCTGTTGGATATAAGCTGTCTGTGTGGGCTTCGTTTCTTTGGAGTTCAGTTCAGTAGAATCACAGAATGGTTTCGGTTAGAAGGGACCTTAAATTTCAGCCAGTTCCAACCCTGCTGCCATGGGCCAGGACACCTGCCCCTAAATGAGGTTGCTCAAAGCCCCGTTGGGCAGGTTGGGTATCCTATCCTAAAACAGGACTGCGGACAGGACTCTTGGAGTGAAAGAGCAACTACAGACAATGATTAATGTATTGCTCTGTTGTTACTACAGCTCTTTGCAAGTTGTCATTTGGGATGTTTGTGGACTTAGAAAGTAGAGCAATCAATGAATTTCCTGTACCTCTCTATAGTCAATCCATTATAGTTCTTTTTTGAAATTGAAGGGGTGGAGTAACAGGGCAGCAGCTTACTTTTCACTAACCTTAGGACCTTAGCTCTTGTTCTTTCTTCCATTCCCTGCTTTCCTCTACCTCACTGGAAAGCTTTCTGTGTTCTCCCCATGTCCCTTGTTCTTGTCACAGTCATTTATAGAAAGAATTTATTAACCTACACTTAGGGTATATGTCATCATATCCATTTGATTTTGAGATGCATTACAACTCTCATTTACACTGAGTTGTTTTACTGTTAGTGAGACTCTGGCAGACACTTTGTGCGAGTAAAGGTTGAGGGATACACTGTTAGCAGCTCATGTTATCTTTTGGAGACAAGCCAAATGAATTATAATCTACTGCTATTGGGTGATAAACAGAGTGTTAATAAATAATCTAGGAGAATCAGGTGGCGATGACTGTTTTTATGTTAAGAGGTCTCTTGCCCCGGTCCATGCAGTCATTTTGCAGTAGTATAACAGCTTTTCCAGCAGAGCCCTAAATATTAAAAAATGTGCCACTTAAATGCAGACAATGCCATTATTGGTATGAGGTGAAACACACATAGTTTGAAAGGACAAAGTAGGATTTTGTTTTAAAAGCTGCACTTCAGAAATAGAAGACTCAGACAGTAAGGTAATGTTCTCAGAAGATACTTGTCTCGTAGTCAGACTGAAAGAGCTGTTTGGATGTTACCCTCAGAAGAAGGCATGGGCTTGTCAGTCCCAGATCTTTTCTGCACTGTGTACACGATTAGATATTTGACCAGAGGAAATAGATGAGTGAGATTTATTCAATCTAGGTACTCACGCAGGATCTCTTGAACAGTAATGGGCTCCTTGATTATTGCTGCTCCGCTCTCACCAGCCAAGTTTATAGCCTTTATACGGAAATGAAGTTTGTCCCCTGTCACCAGGTCTTTAATCAGTGCAGAAGTACGCTCAGTTAGGCCAGGAAGAGCTGGAATCCATTCTGTAGCTGCAAGTACACGATTTTCATATTGTAATAAGATCTTATTTTTCCAAACTGTTGCTTTGTCTACAATCGAAAGTTAATTTGTATTAAGGTAAAATGAATGTAACGTGCAATACCATGCTTAAAATGGAATAAACTAATCTGGGAAAGAACTCTTGATCTAGAAGATGTATTTACACATGCACTTCAGGAATGCATACATTTTGTTTTACTCAAAATAGTACAGGAATCATCTTTGGGTGCTTTCTTTGACATTCTGATTATGGAGCTTAGACCACTGGCGCTTCTCTACATTTATTTTCTTTACCAAAAGATTGTGTGTGTGTGTGGGGGGGGGAGTTGTGGAAGCATTTTTAGCTAGAAAGCAAAGCCTCAATTTCATTTTTTTCTTGAAATGTATCTTCTGAGGGTATCCAGACAGAATGGTGAGAGCCGTATATACTGAAAACAGTAATAGAGCTCATAACTTTTGGTATTTATTCTTACTTTCTTGTTTGATGTGGTAGAACAGAGTTCCTAGGGCCTCCTTAGTTACTCTAACAGCACAGAAGTACTACTGATAAAATTATTCTTCTGTGACAGTGACTTAGGGGTTCTAGTAATTTCATGACAATGTCACTAAAGACTAGAAATGAGTTCTGGATAAATTATACCCTGTAAAAACCCTCGTCTAGGTCATACGACAAGTTTAGCGTCAGAGAAAATCCCATGGCTGAAATGATTATTTGATTTTATAACATAAAAGTTATATACAATAACATTTGCATCATATACAAAAACAGTAAGCATCACAGTAAGTCAAATGTTGTAGATATGGTGCAGCTATTCTTATTATGAGACCACAAGCATTAAATGAGATGAGGTAGGAGTTACTTGCAACTTTGACTGGTATTCTTACAGTCATGGTATTATATTGTTTTTTAGAGAATACACAATTTTTGAATACTACAAAAGTGTAACAGTGGCTATAGAACAGCACTGGTATTTTTTAATACTTTTCTCTGCTGACGTTTATGATTGTGAATATGAGGTTATGGTTGATGTGACTGTCATGGTTTGACTGTCATGTCGGAGTAAGGCTGGTGATGGATGGCAAGGATGTTACCAAAAGATTAGAGTTCAAATTTAGAGATACTGGATATGATTATTTATTGTGATATTTCAGTGAAACTGTTGCAACTGCAGTATTATAATAATGTTCAGTTACTGCTGCCTACTACTTGTGCTTACTTACATCCCTCTTTGCAGTATTCCACAATGTAGCCATCTAATCCCCCGGCTCCGATCCGTTCAGGGGGTCTCCACTTCAAGGCAACGGTGCTGTCAGAGACATCTTCCACTGTAAAGTGGGTTGGTTCACTTGGAGGAGCTGTAAGGAAATATGTAGAAGTAAATTTTGAGAAACGGCAGTATAACTGAGAATTCAAAGGCTGTGGAAGTTGTGATTAGTATCTGAATCATATATCATTGTCAGTTTTAATAAAATAGATTTAGCTGAAGTTCAGTTGTAAAATGTAATACCTGATACTTCATTTTAATAGAAGTGTACCAGAAGATTCCTATATTTGGGGGTTTGAGGGAGGTGGGTGGAAGATAAGAGGTTAAGACAGTAGTTCCTATTAACATATGCTCCCTTAATATGTAAAAGCCAATGAAAAAAGAAGTTGTAGGCGAGTGCGACAGCAGAAGTCTGCAGAAAAATTTAAAAATAAAAAATACATACAATTTGTATGCTGTATTTACACCCTGTTTGTAGATAGACAAAATCATTAGTGGCTAAATTTGATGTAATGCATTTTCCTCAAACACTGAAGAAAATGTCTACAAGTTTTGACTCCGTTTACTGAAACACTAGTTCTATTTGGCTCATTTGTAATGGAGACATATCAGAGAGAAATATTTTGGGGCTGAAAATTTTTCACTTCAGTTACATATAGCTATTTCATATCTTTTCAGAACAGGAGTCTCATGGCTCTTTTTAAATCCGTAGTTCAGGAAGACCATTAGCTAGATTCAGTCTTCTTAAGCACAACTCCTGTCTACTAATCAAAAAGGAAACAAACAAGAAAAGCCTTAACTGAAAAATCCCAAATTGTGAATACGCACAAATGCTACCGTAAAATAGAAAAGATAACATGTTCAAAATTACATTTGGAATTACTGGAATGTAATATTATGCATAACATAACAGCAATAATTTTAAAGAAATATATGTTTGATATACTCTGTGTGTGTATATATTTATATTCTAAACTTGATAGCTTTTGAATATAATTAAGATATTTTACATATTACATATTAGAAATATGTAATATATAAAGTAAGTTAAATACAGCTTTATAAATTATGGAACTGATTGAAATTGATCTCAGTTCCTGACATTATTACAAAAAATACATCATCCACTTTCTATAGCTATGTCAAAATTTTTCATATTCAAATGGGATCAAGAACAGTGAACTGCAAATGAGACAAAAGCAGTTGGGAGCATACACAACCACACAGTACGCGAACGAAACCCCAAACCTCTTAAGCAGTAAGTGAGAACATTATCCTTAATCAAGTAAAACTCCCTTGGACCTTTTTTTTCCGTAGCTCCGCCTGATGGTTTTCGTTTGCCCTCTTTTGCTGCAGACCAGCTGTTTTGTGTTTGAAATCCACAATTAAGAGACCCTTCTTTCAGTTCATCCGCTCCTTCTGACCCCTTCACTGCATCATCTGCTTTTACGTTATCTCCTTCAGCAGGTTGTCCCCCTTCACTGATACTTGTAGATGTAGCAACTCTAGTCATATTAATCTCCAGCTAGTTGGATTTTTGTGGCTCCTTGTTCCAAAGCTCTTAGCAGACAGGCTTCCTGAGGACTCTCTGCTCCAGCTCAGAGACTGCAGGAGATACTGTACTGCTGTGATGGGAAGGATTATTTATAGGAAATCATTCCTTAAATATTTTTTTAATCAGCTATCCTTTTAGCTGTGGAGAGGCCAGGATTAATGGAGTGCTGGGTAGGATACTGTTATATTTGCACCCATAAGGCAATGGGGGAAACTGAGAGGGACAGGGAAATTTCTGTCAATTAGTTCTCCTCCTTTCCAGATCCAGCTTGACTCTCACACTTCTAATTATAACAACTAAAAATTCATCAGCAATTTCATGAAACTGGAAACTCTGTGCTTCGCAGGAAGGGGAATGAGAGACAGAGAAGAGGAAGATGACGAGATGAGAAAGGAAAAGGCTGATTAAATATAGTATAACTTCTTTCCTAACATGTTCTTTTTGGACATAAGGACAGTTGAAGAGGTGAAAATTGTCCTGTTCTTGGTTATGTCCTAGAAACAATACGGAGTGGGGTAGAACTCACCAATTGGCATGAAGGGTTGTGAGGCAGGGCTTGGCCGGGACATGCCAATAGAATTCACAGCATAAATCCGCATCTCGTAAACGACTCCTTCAATCATTCGCTTGGCTTCATAGGTTAGCTCTTTTAAAAGGTCAAAGTTCAGTCTCATCCATCGGTAGCTCTTCTTCTTCTTTCTCTCTAAAATATAGCCTGGAAGGATATCTCTTATGATGTAAAGGAACTGCAAATTATGATTTCACATGCAGGAAACAAGAAAAGCACCTTTTTCTCTATGACATAAAGAACCAAATGTTATCCAAAATTACTGCGTCTGAGTTCTGTGAGGCTTCTGTATTTTCCACAACTTTCCTCTTGTATTACTTTCTGTCTGACACTCTTACCCGAACAATTGTACTTGTTGAGCCCCATAAAAAGGTGAAGGTGGGCTGGGAATTTCATTTCTATATCTGCTGGATACAGATAATAAAGGCTGTGGTAGAATTCCCAAATCTGTAACAGTGTAAAGACAGACAAGAATGCACACATATTTTTCTCCTGTCTTTAAACTTGCTCTTGCAACTTTTTTTGAATGGATGGTGCTGCTTCTTGGCTTTCATTCAGGTATTTTAGTCTAGCTCAATTATTAGCAAAGTCTTATGCTAATTGCTAATTATGCTAATTGCATAAGACTACTTCCTCAGGTAGTGCTAAGAGTTGCTTGTGGAACGTTAACAAAATCATTCCTTTGACAGTGAAAACAAACCAAATAACTTTATGAAATGTATATCCTGACAACTATACAAACTGAAGTCATGGGCTTTGCCTGGTCAAGGGCAGGGGGGTTGGTTGTGGTAACGTGACAGCTATTGCTATGTATCTGTGCACCAAATACTTTGAATTCTTGCTTGTTTCCTCTCAAACAACAGACTGGCCCAGTAGTACCTTTTTTATACCTCCACAGGTAACTTCTATTGAATTAAATGAGGCATGAGTGAATGCGGTCAAAATATTCAAAAGCAAATACAAACTCCCCTCTTCAAAGTATTGTACAAGGGATTAAACGAATTGTAGAACATTTCTAACTCTGGCATCTCCGTGGGACTTACATGGAGGTTTCAGTGTATTTTTAAAAAGAAACTGAAATTCCAATGATCTTTATTAAACAAATTCCTAGATTTGGTGTCTAGAGGATTTTTTTTTCTAAAATTAGCCGAGATCCTGCCTTACTTCCTTTTCCTTCTGAGGGTCACAGGGAGTTCTATCTGACAAACACCATGCTCTGCAGAGAACTTACCATGGTATGGGTGATACTCTTGCTTGCTTCAGCTTGTTCCCTGTATCATGTGATGATTTTGGCCTCCAGTTTTAGTGCAGATTTTAAAGTCATTAAAGAGTTTGAAATATGTTTTGTGACTCATGGTGTGTGGTTGTATGTGAAGGAGAATTATGAACTAGCTTTCTAAAAAGAAATAAAATGTATTGCATGAGTGCTTGAGATTGCAGAGGTCTGGAGTTGATGTCTGACATGACCACGGCTCTGTTTTGTTATTCCTAAGCAAGGTCAAAGGCATGTATACTGACCTAAAATTACTGTCTTGAATGGGAATACCTAGCTTTAGCATCTTCTGCTTTGCTAACTTGCTGAAATATTTCTTGGATTCAAATAGCACAGGCAGGGGGCACCCTCTCCCTAATATTGAAGGGCCAGAATTGACTTATTTGAAAATTTGCTACTTTAGTTAGTGTCTGAGGGTCAGCCTTCCTAGAGTGAATACACTTATGAAATCCTTTGGCATCATTGTAAAGGAGCAGCAATAATATAGGTGATGCTGCTGGCAACTTTGTGTTTCAGCACTTCTTACCAAGTACTGGTTGCCCACCATCGTATTTAGGTGGCTGCCATTGCACAGTGCAGTAATCTTCTCCAATGTTGCTGATCTTGGGAGCTTCTGGAGGGTCAGGAACATCTGAAGAAAACATGAAAACGAATGGGGGTTGTTACTGTCACACTTATTGTCCACAAATCAATTAAATAATTTTCTTTCTTTATTTTTTTTTTCTGCATATCATACATATATATAAATCTTAAAAAAAATCAGACATCCCGAGGAATTTCCTAGTAGTAGTAGTAGTATTTATCATGGCCTTATAAAGGCCATGATAGAAATTTGTCAGATTGCAACAGTAGATACAACATAGAATGCATGGTCTTAATCCAGAGTGAATCCTACTTTTTGATGCTTCCAGGTTAGTTTGTTTTTCTTTTAAATACTGTTTAATTATTCAGCCATCTTGTTCTTTCCAGACACGATCACATTTTTGCAAAATGCAAGGTTTTGGGAAATCAGCTGTGTACTAGCTGCGATAAATTGCATCTAGTCATCCACGACTGACATAGATTTATGCTATGATCCAGGAAAAAGAAAACAGACAGAACCCACTTCTTAGTGGGAAGCAGCATTGGTATTTCCTTCTTTGGTATGTAGCGAAAACTCTTGTAGACAGAGGATGATGCCTCCTGCCTTTATTTTGTTCATAAAGAAATAAAATTGCTCATTTGTTGGCTCTTTCACCTCAAACCACTTGACAGAACTCTGCTAGGTGTTTTAGCAAACAGCTTCACCAGTCCTCCACTCAAATGAGAACCAGCAATCCAAACCTAGTAGTAGTTTTGTTCTCAATCCTGTAACAATAGACTTGCTCCAGGGTTTCTTATTCTGTCTAGAATAAACTTTGTCTAGAGTATAACAGCTGTGTGTCTCATATATTTTGTTATTTTGGAGATATAAAAGATGAAAAGCAGTTAATACTAACTTTTAATACTGCAGATGAAAATAATTCCAGTTTATCAATTCAAAATTTGCTTATAACCTGAGCATTTGTCATATACACGGTAGAGTAAAAACAAGTTGAACATGAGAAAATTGATAAAAATTACTGACTCAAAAGCATATTTTCCCCCAGCTCTTCTGTGACTCACAATGTCAGTCTGTTTATCTTGTATCTGATACGCTGCCTCTCTTTATGCCATTAGCTGCTTACTATGTACAGAAGGAAGTCATCTTTGTTTAAAAATGGAAAACACAAAAAAATGACAGGAAGTTTTTCTCATCTCATACTAGCCTGAAGGGTGTTCCTTAGAAGGGAATGTCATCTATAAAATGTTAGGATCATTTGAAACTGGAAACATATAAAAAGTAAACATGTGGATTTCTGCTGGGAGTTGTTCACTTTCCTTTTCACAAGGCAGACAACTACCTATGAAAAACACTTCTGCCAAATTTTGTAATTGAAAGTATTCCTGCTTTTATGATCATTTTCTGTCTATTTTTAAAGCTTAAACTCAGAACCTGCGTCAATTTCAGAGTTGAGTGAGTTTCAGTGAACTCAATACACTTTCATGCTCTGCTTATTTCCTTCCTTCACTTACCAATAACTTTGACTGTGATATCAGCCTTGTCTTCGCCCACTGGATTCTTAACTATAACTCTGTATACTCCCTCATCCTCCTTTTCAGCTCCTTCAATGATGAAGACACAGTGGTCTTCATGCTTCTCCACGCGAACTCTGCCTTCAGACTCAAAAAGAAGCTGTGGGCAGTAAAAGTAACAGAAAAAGTCAATGCAAGTTGTGCCAGAGACAGCCTAATGAGCCTTTACGTAAGCTGATGGAAAGCTTCATTTTGAATATTATCAATATTATTCAAAAGCTATGAATATTTTTTTCTCCACATTTGGATGGAGAAAAGAGAAAATACTGACTAAATGGCATGCATAAAGCAAGTAATTTAGAGAAAAATTGGTTCTGAAAGTCCCCAGGTTGTTATGATTCATTGCTAGTTTCACACAGCCGGTACTACAGATTCCTAATTGGGATAGCTGCTAGCATCAATGTAAAGTTTCATGGATAACAGTTGGGTAGATTGTAAATTCAAAGGGGGTTACAAATTCAATTCACATACTTGGGCAAACATTTCTGTTCAACAATATCTGGCATCAGATAACAGATTTGATCAATTTCCTTCTAAAAAGGGTACTGTATTTCTTTGTTAACGGCATCAGTGTGATTTCTGTCACTCAGGAATGTGATATGGGATAACTTTCTACTCTTCTCTCGACTGTGAGGTCTAAACATAACTATAGGAACTTTGCTGTGCATTTGTAGCATGCTCTCCTCTTTATGTGCCCATATTTTCAGACTTGGAAGAAGCATTACAAAGCATTTGTGCCCGTCTAGTGACTAGCACAGCAGAATCCTAACCCTGAGAAAGGTGCCCTGAGAAAGGTGTATAGTTGCATAGCAAATATAAAATCTTTTGTATCTACCAAAATCAAAAAGTTGTCTATTACAAAAAAGGAAAGTTGTTGGAAAATAAGTCTTCTTTTGACTGTTTTGTACATACTTTGCTTGCTCTTTTGACTCATTCTCATCTTTCTTTGTGTCTTGTAAGACTTTGTCCTAGTTTTCTTCCTCTAGATATTATTGAAGCTTAGAGTTTACTAGGGGAAACAACAACTAAAAAAGGTGGAGGATAAACATTCACAAATACGTTGAAGTGAGTTTTAAACAGCTTCTTTGATTCCTCGTAGTCAAGCCAGCATGTAACGGTGGTTAGAGATTCCCTTGACCAATACCTAACTTGAAATTCACTTTCCAGATCTGTTTTGCCTGTTCAAAGTCATTGGTAATTGCTGTCGTGAGGCAGGATGTTGGGCTTGCTGTGCTATTTGCTTCACCAGTTTTAAAATCTACTGATTTGAATTTTATTTTTGTCTGAATAGGACCATTTAAATGGAAAACACTAAGCATATTTATGTGTCTGCAAAAATAATAAGGAACTTACCTTACTATCAGTGTTTAAATCACTGCTGTTTTCTGAGGGAGTCATGGAGTCATCATTGCTTCGAAGCAGATCAGTTTTCTAGATAAACAAAGAAACCACAGAAAGCTGAATTTTCTGAGCAGAACACTAAAGCTGTTTCTGCAAGTCAGAAGAGTCCGTAGGTGGGCTGGGGTGCTTGAACATGGAGGTGTGAGCAAAGTGAGAGCAAAAAGTGCTGGGAAGGAAACAACAGATATGAAAGTAAAAAGCAGAAATGGAAATAGATGTATCGGACTGTAGCGAATTAAAGGAAGGATAAGTCAGCAAAACTGAATCTACAGCTTCATAAACAAAGATGCATTCCTGCAGTAGAACAGCAACTGCTTCCGAGTCTGTGTGCATCCTGTGGTAACAATTATTTTGTATAGCTACATAAATAAGGTTTACCTTTTTCTGTAACGATGGGATAGTAAGTCAATATAAATGTTTTAATGGTCAGAAACATAGTCAGATCTGTAACATACATACAGCAACGTATTCTGAAGCTTTGGTATTGTTTACTTTGGATTTCAGTAGTTAGTATATGCTATGCATCCTTCAAATCAAACTTGTTTCCTTTTACTCATGTTGAGACCTCAAACCTTGGAAATAATAAGGTGTAGGGTTTGAAATGTTTGTATGAGATGGTCAGAAAAACTGCTTCTGGTTCCTTAAGAAGAGATGAATGGCTTTTTTGTTAGGTTCCATGCTAATTCTGCATTGCAGAAAGAAATCCTAAATGTTACTAAATATGTCCACCTGAACAAAGAATTCTGCAAATTTGTGAAGAAATGAGACTGGGAAAATGAATATAATTGGCAATATTATTTTGTCTATATCTATTTATTTTTGTGCTACCTATGGAAAGTGTAATGATGCTGTAGAATCTTATGCAAATTATGTCTGTTTTGTGCTCATTATAGCTCAAGAGCACACAGATGGTGAGGGGTGTGGATGTTCAGAGATAGCCAGGAAGGAAGCTCGCTTAGACACTTTTGTGTCTAGGTTCTAATTTTTTTCTTTGATGTTTTGCAAGTGCTCTGATTAGGAAAATAGCTAGTGTCCTCTCTTTTCATTATACCAAATACAGCTTTACCCCACTGATCTGCTGAGAACACATCTTCTTCACAAACTGTAGAAGACTTATTGAGGAAGATGGTAAAAAGAAACTGCCACCTCCAGAACTTGTCCATACTATCAGGTGTGATCATGGGGATGACTGATCATCAATTTCTTTTTCTCTGAGGTATTAGGAGAATAAACCTATATAGTATCCGACCACATGCATGTATGTATGTCTACTCATATAGATACAGCCCCTACTTTTAGAAGGAAAAAAAAAGTCAAGTTCATTAAAAAAAAAAAAAAAAAAAGTCAAGTTCATAAAAGCTCAAGTTCAAAAGGCAAGTTCATAAAAAAAAAAAAACACAGTTCAAGGTGACTCCTACAAAAACAGATAAATCCCAGTGAACTACGTTGCAGCTATTTAATTTTCTTCTTGAGTTAAAAATAAAATAAATAATTGAAAAATACTCTACAATTTAAAAAATAATTAAAAATACTTTTAAATAAGAATTTTTAATCACAGACAGATTTGAGAAAGAAAATAAATTTCCTGGTGTGACTTTCTTGCCTCAGCTGTTGTGTCAGATTACACATTACCTTGTTCACTTTCTGCCAGATGACAGTGGGTGTTGGATCTCCTGATATGGGAACATCCAATCTCAGTTTGTTCCCAGCCACCACAACAATAGTGTCAGGGGACTGGCCCAGACAGTCAAGGTGGATTTTGGGAGGCTCTATAGCAAAGGCAAAGAAATAAGTTTAAAATATGGTTTGAGTGTTCTGTATGAAAAAGAGGTGACTACTTATGTCAACTCCCCATTAAAAATGACGATACAGTTTCCTTTGCTATTGAAAACATGTTTACTTGCATATAAATAACAAATATTCTTACCTTCTCTTGGTACAAAATCAATCTTGACCTCTGGAAAAAAAAAGAGGTCGGGAGAGTTAGGATAAATAGATCTGAAAAACAAATTTTCATATAGTTTGCATTCAAAAAGTAATTTAAAACTTATTAATAATTAAATCCTCTTAAGGCATGTACATCTGTATATTAATGCAATAAACTGGAAAACGGGCTCTGTAAAACAATATAGCAATGATAGCAAAATAACGGGCAAAAAAATGTAATGCACCCATCTTGAGGGATTTGGAAAGAGATTCTCCATAGTCTTTCCTGGTATGACCAGGAACAGTTCCATCCTTTTATCCCTGTGGAAATCCCATTGTATATTCTAAGACAACTTACCCAAAAACTGAAGCTTGGCAGAAAGGTTGTAAGCAAATCCCTGAGGGATGAATGAATAGTCAGCCTCGTCACCTGGCGTAACGTCCTCAATAGTGAGCTTATGGATTCTGGAAACATGAACAAATATGGTCCACTCCCTTACCTTACCATTCCAGGAGAAACAAGGCTATTTCAAGAGATGAGGTGCAGGCTATAGGATATTAACAAACAGCACTATTTATTCTCCCCTTTCCCTAACATCAAGTCAACATCCTCTAGGGCTATAGGCTGCTCTGCTTCCAGCATTTGAGTAAATCCATCTCAGCATGATGTCTGTGAGTGGATTTTTCTTGTCAAGGTTAATGTATAGTCTACTCTGAAGAGAGGAAGCTGTTTCTCTGCTTCTGGTTAGTCTGGTCATTTACCCTTAAAAAGGACAATTGTAGCACTGCTGACATACTTAATTTGATCAGACTGTAAATACAGTAAACTGTGTAAAAAACAAGATAAACATTGATCTTCCATCTCTCTATTACTGTAAATTCAAAACAGAGTAGAGAAAGGGAGTACCAAGGAAGAATTTACGTAACATGTAGTACTCGTGTATCTTAGGAAGTTTCCTGGTCTTGATTACCAGTAAGAGTTAGGGTATTAAGAAACTTGAGCACAAAATGCTGCAATGGTTAATATTTATATATGAATCAGTAGTTTTTGTGAAGGGTCTTATACATAAATGCTATATTAATCTGTCTAAACACTACCATTATTAATCTGTCTAAACACTACCATTAATTTTAAAGTTACCAAAAACATGTTTTCTAGATAATTTGAATACCAACAAAACATGAAATCCAAATGAAAACTGAAAATAAATTCTGCTGATGCTCCACTGATTCCATACATGCAAAATGCCAGATCACATACCAAAGCAAGCCTGTGACTATTTGCTGATTGTGGATGAGAAGGTTTTAACTTTTTCATTTTAGCTGGAGCCAGGACAAAGTCTTGCTTTATATTCCTGTCCCCCTGAGATAATAATTCCTGTGGGTTGTAACGTAATGTCCAAACTTGTACGTGCTTTCGGAAACAAGACTAACCTGCCAATGTGGGAGATCTTTATCCTTTCATCTGGTACCACCTCCTTGCCATTTTTCAACCAGATTCCTTTCACATTTTCATCAGAAACTTCACACTTGAAAACAGCCTGGTCACGTGCCTTCACTGTCAGGTCCGCAATGCTCTGATAAACTTCCAGCTTTTTCTCTGATATTGCGAGAATAGTCAGTACACAAATCAACAAATCAGAATAGATCTGTTAATAAACACTTGGTGCAGGCTTTACTGAGTAGAAAAGGCTAGGGCTGAGCAAGCTGTTTGTGGAAAGGTGAAATATGAAGGAAAATCCACAGCATGCAGGGCTTTAACAAGACTGATAGCTAAGCCCCTGTTACTATCAGGGTATCCATTACATCCGGAACACAGGTCTGAGTTCTCCTTGAGGCCTCTGTTATCAAGCCTAATGCCACCTATGAAATATTCTTTTTCTCTGGCACAAGGATGATGCACTATCCCTCTGCACTATCCCGGAGAAGGTTACCTTCAGCCTGTTTTCATGTTTTCAGATTCTCCTTTTTCATTACCTATGCTTACCTTGTACGATTAGTTCAGCGACTGATACCCCACCGTTGGTTTTCACGGTATAGTGTCCACTGTCCTCCTTGGTTGACTCATTAATAATTAGATACTGCTTTTTTCCATCTTTCTTAAATCGGTATTTGAATGTTTCTTCCCGTGTCAGCTCAACTCCATCCTTCTCCCTGCAATGCCAAATGATGTTATTTTTCATGGGTGGAAGAGGTAAGTAAGAGTCAGCTCAGTGTTATTAGAGATTGAAGGACTCAACTCCAATCTTAGTAGCATTTCAAGTTAACAAAAGTGAGACTATTTCACAAATGCCAGAACTGCTAGGGACACAAATCTTACTAGCTTGACCATGAATTTTTACAAGGTTGTTCTTTTACAAGGTTTTTCTTGATTGTTATTACTTATATTCTGTAGATACACACGACACTATAATACATGTTGTAGAAGATATAGGGATGAAGAAGTACCAGCAGTGAAGGTACTATCTTAAAAGCTGCCATAAGGTAATAAGGACTTGCTGAATAATGACTTAAAAGTCTTAATTTTCCTAACGTGAATTGCAGTCATTATAATTTCATGGTTTGTAAAAGAAGAAAAATTTAGAATGGATTTAAATGAAAATGTATTTTGGATTTTTTAGTCCTTTCTATTAAAGGATGCCACAGCATATTTAAGACATTACTAAATTAAGCTTCACCATGCAGCCTGAGAGGAAATTTAATTATTGTAATTTCCAATCATCATGAAAGGAAGCGAGCAGAGAGGATTCAAGCTGTTTAGTCAAGGTCACACAAAAATATGTAAGACTTTTTATAGCTTTCCTGTCCCTAATCCTAAAGAACATAAACAAGATCCAAGAAAATAACTTGGAATTTCTTCAGCTTGACCTCCTTTCGTAGCCTTTTATATTTTTTATCATTAGAATTTATTTATATTATCTGAATACCACTGCAGTTTGTAAACTTTTTTTTTTCTATTTGATATTTATGTGAAAAAGAGAAGAAAAAATGGAATGCTTCTAGTAAAGTAAGAGGTTGCTTTCTATCTAGTGTTATTTCCCTTGTTTGTTGCTGGTGACTATGCAACTTAACCAAGGGCTTACAGGCTAGGAAATGGCAGTGCTGTTTAGGGACTCGTTAGAATGCTCTATTTCTAATCTCAAAGTAGATACATGCAAAGAAACCCTTTGCCTGTGTCAGAGTCTGCTGATGTAAATCACAGATTAAAGCTTTAAGCAGAGACACGCATCCTAGTTTGTGATTTAGATGTACCTGCTGCAAGTTCATTTCAAAATACCTACAGTTTATCCCCTCCTAACTGTTCTTTAGAGTACAGCTTATTGGAATTTACAGTGGGATTAGAAAAACCCTGGCCTAGTGTCCAAATCACAGGGCTACAACAATAGAGAGGGAGGAAGCAGAACGCTTGCAACACCACATGAAACGCAATGCTAAGTGGTACGCCAGGATAATGTTTCCTCTGCTTGCTGAGTGGCAGGAGTCTGATGTCAGGTGCAAGATGTTCTCCTAGCTGATGCTCTCGTGTATGCACTTAGTTCTGGAGCAACTGCTTACAATGCAATGCACAAACCTTTGTTGAATTGCTGAGAATGGGCTATAATCTAGAAATTCAACACTGCTGCTATGACAAAAATGGGCACACACACACATGCCGTGGCTACTGTTCCAAAGATGAACTTCTAATTTATTTTGGTGATGTATTTTGACATGTGGATTGTCAACGATATTTCAATATTCTCTTCAGCCCGTGGTTAGGAAAGCGATCTCTTGAAGTCTTGTCTAAATAATGAAAATAGACTATTTGCAATGAGCAGTGTCTTAAAACGTGCTTAAAAGAATAGTATATTTATCTTTTGTTTGATTTAGTGACTATCAGATTGCTGAAAAGTATGAGCAGAGTGTTTGCAGATGGGTGTGCTGACAAATAGGGTAATGATAAAATTATAAACTGCAAAAAAGACCTCCCAGGCATCACCTGACTTAAAATACTGTACTGCTGTGGCAAAAAGGGAAAAACTTTATATAAAGTAATATTATAGCCCCTCCCTTGGTAACTAGAGCAGTGAAGCAGAAACATCAACTGACACTAAATTGTAAGAAGAGGATTTTATAGAACCCTGGAAGTGCTAGTTGAAGGACCACTCTAGGTCATCTGATGCAAACTCACAAATATCAGTAACATAGGAAATGTGTAATACTGGGGGGACACAGATTTAATTGTTATTATTACGTTGCTACAGTTTGTTTTCATTTGGAGCTGTGTGGAACTGTGTCATTTGGATGATACATCCAGCATTCAGAGATGGAAAAATCAAGTCAAAACTACATATTTTATTACATCTTTTTCTTCAATAATTGTATTATTTCCAAGGCCATCTGAAGCTTAGAAATGACTATTCCTTAGTACTGTGTAAGAATAACATGAGATCTTTCTAGGTGATTGAGAGGACAGTCTTTCCTGATAACTATGTAGAGACCCACATGATGAATTCTCCAAGCCCTAGTCCGATAGTCACGCTTAGGAGGCTGGAGGCCTTATCTGGCTTGTGCAAGTCACATATTTGCTTCTTTTCATGTGCTTGTGACTTCATCTCCTAGGTTTAAAGGGTGCAAGATCTGTAACAGGTGCCTTTAGCTAGTGTCTGTTACTTAGCTTAAACTGTAGAGCATTTCACTTAAAGGACATAAAACCAGAACTGTTTCTCCATACCATATTTCATGTTTTTCCTGGACATTTCTTTCCCGTGCCCCTATTGCCAAAGAGCACTGACTGAGTCTCCCATAAAAACAGTTATGTTTTGTAGATGTGTGTAGTGTAAATATCTAGCTGCTCAGTTTTCTGTTGCTATGCATTGAAGAGTTTCTCTGACCACTTGCTGCATTTCAGGCAGAGACAGCTGCCGTTTTGCCCTTGTCACAGCAAATGCCCATCCCACAGATAACAGCTCTGCAAGATGTATGGGAGTCGTTCAAAGGCATAGGATCAAAGTGTGGCAGCTGCAATGTGCCCTGAGAGGGACAGATATGGTTGTCCCCATCTCTTGTGACCAGGCATCTGTAAGCAGTTCCTGAACAATAGCGTGTGTGTGCCTGTGCATGTGGTTTTAATAGTGTAATGCATATGCTCTACCAGCTCTTGGGCTCTATTTAAATTCTCAGTTCCTTCCTTTGGGAGAGCAGATGAGTGATAGCACTTTCCAAGAATGTAATGGGCATTGTGGGATCAGTTGATAACCATGTGCCTGAAGCTGTTAACAAGCACAAGAGAATTTCATCTGGTAGAGAAATGAAGTGAGAACAGTGTGCCTAAGGCCTGGTATGTGAGCACTGCCTGCTGTGCCTGCCCAGGCAGTGTGAACCTTCCAGCTTCCCCTCAGCTGGAATGCCCAACAAAATGGGCTCTATGGGCACAATGTTTGTCATCTTAATCCCACTAGCTGCATATACATAATGACTGGCTTTGCAGGATCACCACAACACATATGTTAAAATAAGTCAATGGCCTTCCCTCTGTCTCAGCAGAGGCTGACTTTTTACTTGAGGAAACGAAAATCTCACTGCAATTGAGAAGAGTGGAGCTCATCACAATGTGAATCTAATTAGTCCATGTAATAGTTACACGTTGCTGTCAAGCATTTAGAAAACTTTAATGTTAATGGCTCAGTAGAGTCAGTAGCATCCTGTAGCCGCAGAACAAGAAATCCTAGAGACACTTATAAAATATCTACATTTCATCTGTTTTCTGTAATGTTCTGGCCTCTCAGTTTCTACTCAATATTTGATATATAGAAGGAGGATAAATAATTTTTTTTCTGAAAGCACTGATGTAGGATGCCTTCATCCTTTTTAGTCCACAGCTCTTCTCCACAAACACTGGTTCTAGAATGTCCCATGGAGGAATATGGCCTGTTTCTTATTTGCTGGTTTTTGTTTGTTTGTTTGTTTTTCCTTTTCTATTCCCTTACCATTTTACAGTAGCTCCTTCCTCAGACACTTCACACTCAAACTCCACTCTTTCTCCAACCATCACCATCTGGTCCTCCAGTGGGCGAGTGATCAGGATTGGAGGCTCTGGAAATGAAGAGACCTTTATTGAAACAATATTCTGAAAGGCTGAATGTCAGCAGTAGGTCTCAGTCAGCGCTCTACAGGAGAAGCCCCTGACAAAATACATGGTGATGCTCTCTGAGATGGAACTTAAGATTTACTATGCTGGATCATATTACCAATATTATCAGATGACCTTTTGGTATTTACTTTATGAGACAGAATACAAACATAAGATTAATCAGTTTTCATATATATTCCAAAATTCTCAGACAGAGGCATTATTTTTCTGTACTACTTGATCTGCTTGCAAAGCTTGAGGTACGTATTTATCTTGAACAGAATTTAATTTCTAAAGTACGTTTCTAGCCCTATTGTTGGGAAACACAGCACTTTCCAAATGAGAATTAATAACTATTACTAAGCTATTTTCCTGTGCTTTCTCAGTTGCAGCTATAGGGAAAGTCTGTCTTCCTTTAATTGTAAGAAAAATACCTACTTTGATAGATCTCAGCCTTTGCTCATATGTTTGAGAATTTGCTTTGAGATAACTAATTTGAGAGTAAATAAGGATTTAACTAATTTGATGCTAAATGTTAGGGGGTAGGTTTTGCTGCCATTGCTCACCTTTTACAAATAATTCTGTGAAGCTCTTCTCCTCACCTACCACACATTCATATGCTGCATCGTCAGCCAGAGAGCAGTGGTTTATGGTCAGGATTCTTTTATTCCCAACAGCTTCAAAAATATATCTGAAAAGAGAATCTAAGTGTAATTATCTGAGACTCCCTCCTTTGGATCCAGTCTTCCCCTGCCAGGCAGAGAAGAAAGCTCCCCACTTCTTTTCTGACATCAGTGGCAAGGTTTTTTAAGATTCAATCCTTGAATCGCTGTTCTAGCACAGTGGGCAGAAACAGTGTTTTGAAAACAAGCACAGGGGATTATGGAGATCTTCATACTAAACTGAGGCATACAAACCCCTGTGGATGGTGTTGGGATGCTGGTGACTGTAGATGCTTTTCTAACACAGACACAAACCTGACTACTTACCACTAAAATTCCTCATTAAGGCTCCAGCTACCAAATCACTGAAATTTTGGTTTTACAATGAAATTTTGGTTTTACAAGCATGCTGCAGCAAAGTATATCCCATGTAAGAAAGAATTTTGAACCCTGGATATATACATAAACAACAGAGCATTATCAGAGGACTTACTTGCTAAGAAGGTAGGTGTGAGCATCCCGTTCCACATGTAGATATACAGAGCACAGGGAAGAAAAAGAAACAGCCATGAGAACAGTAAACTGGCCACAACTCAATGTGCTATGTAGATTCTTTCATGGTTCCTATTTCTCCCTATTTTATTTGTTTCTTTCTAAGTATAGCTAGCTTTTCTACTTTGTTCATGCTTCAGGCCATTCTGTGTTTAATTTCTCATACTTCTAGTTTACCTGCCGCTCACTTGGATCTCCTGTCCGTTCTTCAGCCATTTCACGTCAGCATCTGGATTGGCGACTTCAACCATTAATTTAATCTTTTGTCCCTTGTCCACTTGGTAAGCTGGATCCAATTTCTTGAGGAATGCTGTGATAAAGAATGAGTTGTAAAAAGAGTATCTTAATTTTATTCTTTTTGTTTTCTTTCTTTCCTTTTTTTTTATTGACATTCTCTGTCAAGAAAATAAGTCTGCATTCCTTTTCCTCTTGTTTAATGCCATTTTAAACCTTGTCCACTTTCTCCATCCCTGTTTGCATTTTTACCATTTCTTTTTGTCTGTTCTTGATCTCATGCTGTCTTATGTTATTCATTAACATAGAATGAAAGGCTTGTGATATTAACTAAAATGAGTGAAGTAAAATATTCTAAATCAGACATAAATATGTACATCAACACATCCTAAATACAGTTACAGCTAAGTGTGACCACAGGAAAATGATACTTATCTTCTCAGTACTAATGAAAGGCAATTTAACTTCTCTGCTTCTGACTTTTAATACAAATTAGTTAAAAGTAGGTAATTTATACTTGACAGGACTAAAAGAGACTCAAGAATCCCAAATGCATCATGCTTCAAGTGTTTTTAAGAAACCTTTATAATGGAAATGAATTGTAAATATCATGCAAAAATTGGAAAAGGAAACCGTATCACACTCATACTTCCCATGCTCTTGTGTCTGGCTGCTGTCAGTTGATGTTAACATTTGCAGAACTCCCAAACAAGAATATACATACAAATGTATTTGGAAGAAATAGAGCTTTCCAACCTGTACTTTTTTTCTCTTCCTTCTTTATGCGTTTGAGGCGTTTCAGCATCCCACGCAAATCTGTGATACCATACTGAAAAGCGATTTTCTCATATTCAGAAGGTGGAGCTTTCCTCAGGATTTCCCAGACATCTACATCAGGTTGTGATTCAGTTTTTCCATCACCTCTGCATGAAGATATTAGAATATCTGAATGCCACTACTGAGAGTATTTTAAAACAGCCATAGGCTTGGAAGCTATGTATAGGTTTGATGAAACCATTTTTAATAAAGAATTTAGCAGTCTAACTTTTTACTATATTATTGCCCAAAATAATGAAATTAAACAGCAGACTAGTTTTACTCAAATTTATATATACGATGATTAAAATCCAAACACTGTTCTGAAGGATTTACTGTCTGATAGCCAAAGCTAAAAAATTGTAACTTCCCTTAACAATAGGGGATAATAACAAATCTAAATGCAGGGGGGATGTACTGTCCTGTGATGATCATATGCAAAACATGACAAAGCAAGGAACAGAACTGATATCTTGAGAATACTTTAAAAATAAGGTAGTTGTATTATGTTAACAATTTTCTACTTTTCTACTCAGGACATTTTCCCTGCATGCTAAAATGAATCACAGATTACTAAAATATCTATCATCATTTATAAAGGCAATTGTTGGCTTTAGTCATCTATGAAACATAAAGGCACTTACACTGATGAGTATAAGCAAATGAGACAATATTTACAATGAATGACTTATTTTATGGTTTAACCAAAGATTTAGTGATTTCAGAAGAATTAATGCTTGCTTTAGCAAAACCAAGCGAAAATTCAGGTGTCTGACTTTGGGAAAGGCATTCTCTTCCCATCATCATGTTTTAAGTTAAAAGTTCACAAATTAAGAAAGAAATTGGTGTAATCTTACCGATTTACAGAGCGCAAGAAGCTGCTGAACTCAAGAACGATGCACAGAAGCGTTTGGAAAAGCATGCAGCATCCCAATAGGCAAGAAAGAGGGCATCATGTGTTAATACAAGAGAGCCATGAATGTCATCTTCACCTTTAGCAGAATAAGCCTGTGCTTCAGTAGCAGGGAAATGAAGGAACTCGTGCAAAAGCTCTGAAATAAGCTTAAGAAAAATGCTGTTCCCTAGTAAAATCAAACTCACACAGTTTGTACAGTTCCACTCGGCAATCTAAATGATAAGTGCAATGACTTCTACTTGTTCCTAATTATGACAGACGGATTTACAGGGAAATAAGTAGCTTTACTTAGCCCCGTCTTCTTGGAGTTGTTGCCTGTCACTGCTTGCATTTTGATAAACAGTAAGGATAAAAGAAGTAACATTTTCTTAAAACGTTCTGTAGTTTACCTAAACTTCCTGTGGTTGCTGTTTCTGTTATCACTAAGACCAAGCAAACTTCCAGTGCAGCAGAACACTCTCATATAATGAAGTTGTGTACAGTGGGAAACCTCAATAAGATCACTTATGCAGCAGGCAGTGCAAAGAAGAGTGGAGGGTTATAGTGTGTGTTTTCTTTTTTTTTTTTTTTTTTCAGGAAAAGAACAGTCCCATTAGTCTGTGAGAAATACTGTTACTTAAAAAAGCATGACTGTAGTCAGTCTAGACAGCAGGTGTAACCAAATATTTCTAGCACTCCTGTGATTTCCCCTAAAGGGCTTGTTTATAACAAGAGAGTTATGTTTATTAAAGTACTCTGGATTTCCAGCATCGTAGCTCTTGAAGAGGAGGAAAACCCCAGTGAATGCAAGTTGAAATACGGCATGCAATATCTCCTATCTTTGGAGTGGCATAGCACTCACTAAGCACTAAGCCCTCATTCACTAGCACTCACTGGATTGATAGGTGTATCTGAAGTTTGGACTCTTTGCAGTAAGTGAAGTCTACTGAGTATTTGCTTTGTCATAGCAGTGCATCAACATTACCCACAAATTTAATCCAAATTGCTCTTCTCTATCTATCATTTAGTTTGGCAATACAAATAGTCTGACATTCTGCAAGGCAGAAGGCAGGACAAATGAACTCATTTGTCAACTGAGTTGTCAGATAGACCAAGATCTTTTAACATAATCAGTTCTTGGGTAAGTTGCTCTGATCATACCAATGAACGTTAAAATATTTCCAAATACATATGAATTGGAATGGATATATATGTACATAAAAGTAGGATTATATAACATTTCCAGTAAAATCTGTAGTAGCACAATTAACGTTCTGCAGGGTAAATTGTATCTCAAAAGAAAATATAAAATCATAGGAGATAACAAAGACATAACAGGTTCAGATATTCTCATTTTCCCTCAGTCCTTATATAAATATTGATGGTCTCTCTGTCTATCTGCCTACTTATGTGCTCATATATATACACCCCTTTACCTGAAAATTTATGGGTATCATTATTCATGAAATTTTCTAAAGTGTTTTGTGTGAGCTATTTTTAAATACATCATGAGTTAAATCTTCCAATTTGGAAGCAATTCCACAGCCTATTATATCTCACAATTGAGAAGACTTCCTGAATTTTTGTTTTAGCTTTTCCATTAGTCAGTGTCATCCCATTTTTAGATCTGGCAATACCATTTCAGTGCTGTTTCAGTGCTGTTTCCATGCAAGCAGAAATAAAATAAATTTGAGCCCTTATGCTGAGAATGTAGTTTCTTCCTCCTACGTACTGGTATTTTCTAGTTATGGGAAAAAGCTTTAAGTCACGTGTACATAACAAAATGGTACTAAAAGTTAAAGATTATCATTCTTACAGTGTTGAATTCAGTTCTGAAACAAGAAAAGCTTACTATGCCTCTAAGAAAAAGTTTCCCCATCCCATTAGTCCTTTTCACCATTTTATATTTGCTAAAACATTCGTTTTGATTACATAAAGCCACAGTGAGACTGTACTCTTCCACTGCCAACAGGAACTAAGCAACGTATGAGAGCTTGGACTCGTGGAGTTTCTCCCACCCTTACACTACTCTCCGTGACGCTGGGGATCCTTATCCAGAGTGATCACCTCATAGGTTAAATATGCACTTGGGGGCATTAAGATGCAGCTTAGTGAATCTGCTGTAAATGGAGTATGCAGCTGATATGTTTTAAACATGTGTGGAGGGGTTAAAAATAGTTTTGTACATCCCAGAGATGGTTCCTTCCTATCCCATTACTGTCAACTGATTGGGCCTTGTCAGCTGTCACCTCCTTCAAGGTCTCCGCTAACTTTCCCATTTAATAGTTCTGTGACAGCTGTTCCCTTCCTCTTCCCAATGACCTCTCCTTGGCCCATGACATCTGTATGTCAACACCAGTTAATTAAATTACAGCAATAGGAGATACAGTATTAAATGAAGCTGTTCCTATTACAGCGGGAATGTTCATTACCTCTGGATTGAGGGCACTTGTAAATTAGCTGGGACAAAGCAAAAGTGGTGAAAGAATAATCTTCCATTCTGTTTGAATCTACATAGCTCTTGAGAGTTCCTCAGCATGAGGTCCTTTTTCTCTGTCCTATTCTAATGAAAAATGCTTTCATTCCACAGTAAGTTCTTATGCCTTTCAGTTCTCATTAGTATAGGCATGGTCTTCAATCCATGCTGAAGTCACAAAGTCACATGTACGTAACAAAATGGTATTGAAAGTTAAAGTTTGAACTGAATTCTGAATTCTGAGTTCAGGTTGAACTGAGTTTTGAAACAGAAGAAAAAATCTCACTTCCCATGCCTCTAAGAAAAGGCTTCCAGCTGTGCACAAAATTAAGCAAGTGTTTTTACCTTCCTTGGCCTCCATTTATGCAAAATTTTAAAAGAAAAAAAAAACTTTAAAATTTTTAATTATTTTTTTTGCTTACAGAGATTAGAATGTGAGTCTAGTGATGACTGTTTATAGTAACTTCAGGAGACAAAAAATGAGTGACCATGGGCAGTGATCAGAAGCATGCTCAGAGTGATGGGATGATAACGATCAATGGAAACCTCACCCGAAATTAAATATTTAGCAACAGGGAAGTCTGTACATTTACGGAATAGGTGATGTTGGTAATATCTTTGCTAAACATGATTAAGGGTGTATGGAACAAACCTTGAAAGCATATTTGATAGGCACCAGCATACAAATAATGCAAATGATCTGTGATCAAAGAAGAGGTTCCCATTTCTACTTCCTACAACAATAGGAATTTAAACCAGAAAATTTGATGATTCAAGCACTATTTAAAGCCACTAATAAAAGAAAGCAATGGTGAAAAACAAAGGACATGCAGAAAAAAAAGACCACACATTGATTTGTATTGAATAGTTTGTCCTTAATTTCTAACTGTTTAAAAACATTTCCATCTCAGAAATTGGCAGTTGATAATTTTCCTTCATACTATATAATTTTTTGTCATGCTTTACATGTAAGATAAAAATTCATGCATTATTTCAAACCAAATGGTTCTGATATTCAGTCTGACCCATGCATTTATAATCAAATGAAGTAGAAACCTTACTCTCTGTTGTCAACAGTGGAATCCAAAATATCCAGATTACAATGGTAGTAAAAAGAAAAAAAACATATGTAGAGAGATTATGAAACAGATGTGTCAAAGACAGACAATGGGAAGAAGAAATTCCACCCAAAAAAAAAATAGTGCAAGTAAAAGCAAGAAATAAGACTTAGAGTAAAAGCATTAAAATATGTTATATAATATTTATACAACACAGAATCTCTATTATTGTAAAAAAAATATCTCTATATAGTACATATAGTTGTATACTGTAACAATAATAATAGTAATGTTTGGATATCTAATAAAAATGCTTCTCTTCCCAGTTCTCTCATGCCATGTGTTGAAAACTTAGGATAAAGTTTAGGATTAACTTCTTTACTGAAAGGGTTGTTAGACACTGGAACAGGCTGCCCAGGGAGGTGGTGGAGTCACCATCCCTGGAAGTCTTCAAAAGACGTTTAGATGTAGAGCTTAGGGATATGGTTTAGTGGGGACTGTTAGCGTTAGGTCAGAGGTTGGACTCGATGATCTTGAGGTCTCTTCCAACCTAGAAATTCTGTGATTCTGTGTGATTCTGTGATAAAAAGTTGTCAGTAAACAGCATTATAGACAAGTATTGTAATTTATTTTCTTTAGTGAAAACAAAGCAACTAATTGCACTGGTCCCGGTCTTTTCTTTCTTGGGAAAATAAAAATAAATAAATAAATAATGTATTTATTTGCTCCACTATAAACCCAGCAAGAATGCAGGAAGTCTTGACTATTTGGGGAAGTTGCCATAAGTACTTGCTATCCTTTTTCCATTCAGAGCTGCTTTAGAAAAACTGCAAGGATTCTGAACTTACTAACCTCCTACTTGCTCTAGTTCTAGTGTTTTCAGACTTATTCTACAGAAGGTAATTTTATTTCTCTAAGATTAGTGGATTTTTACTCACCTCTTTTTCAGTAGGGCACTAAAATTCAACTCTCCAGCTTCGTCATGTCCCTCAGTACTGCGTAGTAACAGAAAAATGTAATTAGTTTTAGAAGGAAATGGAAATGAAACTATATCATGACATAGGTGATAGATTTCTGCAGTGGAGTAGTGGATGGGTTTAGAATGACTTAGAGTGTGCTCTGACATGGGACATGACCTAATTAGGCTCTTTTTCATTATTGATTTAGATTAAGGAATTTGTTTAATGAACTTGTATTTTTTCTGTACTGATTAAGAAGAAAACTGTAGAAGTTATTAACTTGGTGGTCATATTGATTTGGAATATAGTGGTTATCATGTAGATGTTGCAGAAGCTCTCATTTAGAATCTTTAGTGCTTTTAGGAAGCTGTAGTTTCAGGAGTATGGATATTGGTTGTAGTGGGGGCAGTACTAAACCAACCTTTTTTGGACTTCCTGAAGTCCAAAATCACTTTTTTGTTGTTGTTGTTTTCTTTCCTGGTATTTTATCTAGTATACCCAGCTGCAATTTTTTAAGGCTCTTTGCAATTCCAGAGCTCATTATCATGAAACGAGTATCACATTGCTGGTGCTTGGGCGAGCAAAAGGAGGAATCCTGTGATTTGACACAGAACCTGATGAATTGATTGATGAGAACGAGAAGCAACCAGCAGGAATTTTTTGATATGTAATGATGTTTGTCATATGCTAAACTCAGATGGAGTACACCATGTTATTTTTGGTGTTCTGAGTCAAATGTGTTTTAGCTGTGATTCTGAATGTTTGAAGTACAGATCTACTATGAAAACTTAACACATAGTCTCTAAAACCACTTATTTGGGCTTAGTTCCTTAAAAAAAAAAATCATTCTGGAGATGTGTTTTGGAAGTACTGAACTGACTGGGAATTAAATCTATTTCCTGATTAGTTATCGTTCAATTAAAAAAAAAAAAAAGTCTTAATGTCTTTTTGTGCATTCAGGCAGGGTTTAGAAAGTCAAAATGAATTTTCTTCACCTCAGTTGGTCTCCCATCATCGATGTTCAGAGGCTCCTTTACACCTCTGTGGTATTGAGAGCAAGAATCAGGTAATACCAACAAACAGCATTTAGATTCCTCCAGCAGCAACACCTTATCCTTCATCACTGTTTCATACACAGAAATTACTATTTTCACATGTACCAGGGGTAGCAGTAGCCCAAAATGCTGTCTCTGACAACACAGAGTGCTAGTTACTTCAGTCTGTCTGTAGGAGTATAACCAGAATGTAAGGATATTTGATACGGCAGGAACAAATATAAAAATACGTAAGAAAACAGCTTCAACAGATAAAGGATGGGCGTTTTGCCAGTACTGGTGATAAAAATGGAAGGGAAACAAGTGCCAGACTTTTGGTACTTGCAAGGTTGGTGAGAAAAAAATAACAATTCAAAACCATTTTTAATTTGAATCAGTACTATTTTGAATAAGTTGTGAGAAGAGATCTGCTTATTAAGAAAGCACCATATTTACTTTTGTGATTACTTTCAAGGTAGTACAGTACTGGAATGGATTATTTTCTTGGTATGATGCTCAAGCAAGAAAGTGTATTTTTGGCCTCTTTATCCTTGCTTTAAGAAGATTTTCAATGGCTACAGGCATCATATATAGAGATTACTATTATAATACTAAATTTGAAAAGGGCTTCGTGTGGTCAAATATTCAGAAAACCAGAATCTACAGCTGGAAGGAGAATTAGTCACATTATTGCTTCCCAGGTGCTAATTACAATCAGATTTTTAGGAAAGCCCACCAATCAGTGTTTGGCTTTTCTGCAGAGTAAGACCTTAATAATTGCTTTAACATGCATAGAGTTAAATCTAATCTTAGACTTCCTATTTTAATTATGGTAGAAGACATTGGGAGCAAAAGGGATGTGACAGGAAAGTTAATGATAATAGGATTAGGAGTGTGGCAGGAAATTACAGATTTTCATACGCATGTGTGTTGAAAAACTTCTCAGAGAAGTGACAGTTTTAGTCAGGATGTGCTCAGTATAGAGGAAAGAGTATAAAACAGAGGGGCAGACATGCGTATAATTTGAAGTTTGTGTGAAGATAGTTCTCTCCAAACACAAGCCTTTTGTGTAGATGAATCTGCCTCTCACTGAACTATCAAACTACTCTTTTCAATATCTTAGACATATTACTACTTACTGGTATACATTCTAATCTTACATAAGCACTACTATAAACCATGATTTATTAGGAATTCAAATGTTTATAATAGAAAGTGGAGCTAGTTCTGTCTGTTTTTTCTTTTATTTTGTTTTCCTGATCAGAGAGAGACAGTTCATTGTTAGACTTGAATTTGTCTGCTGACACAGGTGGAGACTACCTGAGAAAGGCTGAAGTCATCCGTCTCCCCCCTCCTGCCAGGCTCCTGAGTGAGGGTATCAGACACAGAGCTTCAGATTTAAACAGTTCATTTCAAAATCTGGCTTCTTTATTATAGAAAGAGCTGAAAATCTGAACAGCCTGAAGCTGCTAACATTGCTCGTGCTCTCAACTGATTGTAAAATAATTCTTTTAATTCTGCTAGCAAGAAGAGAACCCCTTGGAGCCTAACTCCACTGCAGTGAAATAACACAATGCAAGTAGGCACCGAATGTCCTTTTTTAGGCACCAGAGCAGGCTGGTCAGCTAGTTACAGATGGATTTGACTGTAAATAAGTTCTTCAAGACTTCTTTATGATAGAATGCAAAATCCAAATCTCATACAGAAATAGCACTTGTATGGAAAAATTCAAGCAGTTTACAGAGCAAAATTTTCTCTTATGTTAGAGAAATTGATGCCTGTTGGAATGTGCTTGATCTAATAACTACAAAAATATATAGAAATTAAAACAGAAACTGATTTACTTAAAGTGAGAAAATATATTTAACAATAAAAAACAGATATTGAAATTGAAATAAAAAAGATGTTACAAATTTGCAAATTTTACTAACAGAAGGGAAATCTCATTCAATGACGTCATGTATAAATTCAAATGATATTACGGAGCTGGTGAGAATAGTCTTTTCAGCACCAATGCAACACCTTGCAGTCTTCTAGGACCTGCATATATTAGGGTTTTTACACAGACATTTACAGTACCATTGTCTTCTTTCAATCAATATAGAACATGAAAACAAATACAGTCAAAATGCATTAATGTTATTGGTGTTATGCTACTTACAGGGCTCACATCAAATTCCAGTTTTGGAATTTGTTTAGCAAATGTTTGTCTTAAGATGCATGTAGCTTCTCAAGCCACAGTAAATCAAGGCTAAGCACTACACAGAATCTTTTCGCTCGCTGTTGGTTTACATCTGGAGTGCTCTACAGCACTGGAAAAAAATGCTGAAGTTCTTCATAAAAAGATATACATTATAAATTGCATAATTGAAGACAAGCATGATTGTTATACTAGTACAAAGTCAAAATTCTCTTAGATGATTCCTAGATGTTATTTGTTATTTAGTATTTTAATGGTAGAAATATTTTCTTAGTAGACATCCCTGTCTCTGTACTTGTTGGTACCATGCCTTTGCTTTTACTAGGAAAGTAATGAATTCCGCGTGGAAGTATAATCTGATCTACGTAAGTTTCTACTGTGCATACTCACGTGCGTCGGAAGGCAGCACGAATATCCAAGTCTCCACTTAGTGGCGCTTCTGATGTGACAAAGAGCAATAAACAAGAATGAGGTGGCACATCAAAATAATGCGAAACTACAGTGCTATTTATAAAGCTTTTCAGTTACAGTCTTTTTTTTTTCCTGAAGTTCTTATGTTGTAAATTGTGATCAATCACATATTGGAGGAGTGAAGCAGTATCTTTAAATAGGTAACCCTCACTAACTGGCTTTCAACATCCAGTGTTTGATGTATAACTTAGTTTAGTCTCAAGCTTCATCATGACAAATTGTCTTATCTCTTCTTTTTTTAATTCCTCTGCTGGTAAATTTTAGTTTCGATACTGGCTTCACAGGGTATACTGAAACCATAATGAGAAAACCACTGGATAACAACTGTCTAATGTTATTCATTCTAAATTGCAATCAGTCCTTTGAAAGCAAAGGTAAATTCTCGGAAATACATAGTAATGTACAGGAACTCCACCAAGGATGTTGCGTAGACAGAACCTGATTACTCTGTTCTAAACTTCTGAAGTCAGAATAAAGCCAGAGAACAGTTGGGCTGCTCTGTATCTTTCTGTGTGCTGTCTTAAAGAGCATCACAATTCTGACTTGAATGACATCCAGCTGTTTTCTTCTAATGTTCTCTATCTCTGCCAACTCTTCCCAATCTTCATCTGCAGGCTTCTTTAAGTGCACCTGTAGCTCTGCAGGTGTATACTTCAGATCTATCCTTGTCTAGTAGCTGCTGTGTACCAGAAAGAATCGGCGGGCATATGTATAGGAAGAAAACAAAACAAAACAGAACAGGAAGAAGCAAAGTGGCAGTAGTTCATTTTACCATTGACTGTCAGGTTGAAATTAGAACTATCAAACTTGTCCTTCGTAGACACCTCACATCTGTACCCGCCTGCAAAGGTCATATTTGCTTCTATGATTTCCAGTTCAAAGGTGTACACCTAGAACAGAGACCAGTGATACACTTTGTAAGTTAGAAAATTAACTGGTGAGAGAGATTTAGAATGCAGCGTATTAAGGCATAAAGAAAAAGACGAGAGATGACATACAGTTCTGTTTCCTTTTAGAATTAAGAATCTCCTGAATGTATAACTCATTACTGTCATCAAAATTGCATATCCCCAATTCAGTGGGAACAGCTAAAGGGTATGATCAGTACAGGTCTACCAAAACATTCAGTGTTATATTAGGAAACTCTGCTGATGTATGGGTGTATATAGTCATCACATATAGTAACTGAATGTTCACTGGAAACAGGAATACATGTAGATCTTCCATTAAACGAGCATAGCCTCTACCTAGGATTCAGCAACGGGAGTGGCTGATTCACTCACGAGCAAGTCAGTTCTGTTCCATCCAGAAGAGGGTGTTAGTGCTTCATATCCCACATGGGATGAGAAGCCATGGTACAGAATCTCTTGTGTTCCTGTTTGTGTATCCTTGGACACTTTTGTGCTAGAAATGGATCTTACTGAGATATTTAGAGTAGTCTAGTCAATGCAAGAGAACAGTAAATTCCAACACTAATAGCTGAACGCTTGACTATATAAAAAGAAGATAGATGATATGTTACTATCTGCCTGACTTTGTTTTCTGTTAAATATAACCAGTATCTATTACTTGGGAGGAAGGTAGAGCATTCTGCAATAGGTGGTGTAAAATTGCTTCCTCAGTCCACCAGATATTTTCTCATTTCATCATAAACAAGATGTACAAGAGTCTGTATGTAGTGCTCGTCTTGTCTGCATGGTCAAAACATAAGTGTGTCTGCATAAGTATTACATAGTATTTAGCTTTGGTACCTCAAAACATTCCTATATTTGCTTATATTTTCCCCAGATTAAAGATTAGAATCTAAAAGACTTGGAATCTTACTCTGCCGGTTGTACCTTGTTGTTTCGATCATAACTGTCATGCAGCTGGAGGTGCTGCCCCACTTTGCTTGCTAGGTCCATCCACTTTCCTTTGAACCATTTCACGGATGGTTTCTTCAGCAGGCTCTCACCTGCAACTTTGGCAGTGAACGTGATATTTCCACCTTGTAAGGCAAGTAGGTTAAAATAGGATTATGAGTAGTGTTTAATATATCTGTTATATGACTGCTGCCCTCCTGTATGTGGAGAGCTAAACAGTCAGGCAGCAGGTGCAGTCTACGAACACCACTTGACTCAGATTTTGTACCCACCAACAGTAACTTCTCCATCCTGAGGTCGTGTCACAAAGAGCCCAATAGGGTCCGCAGGCTCTTCTGGTTGAGTTCCAGCAGAAGGAACTGAATCAAACACAAGAACTTCTAGTTAGGACTTTCTGCATCAGCTTCTCTTACAATGTATGCAGTAAATTTGTTAAGTCATTTCAAAATATCACAGTATGTTTCTCCTGTCTCTGAGACTATTCTTTATTCTCTGTCATTTATTACCAGCAGTCACCTTTCAGCTACTGTCTCTACCTTGTAGACTGTAAAGGTTCACTGTTCCAGTTTTTCCCTTCTGTTAATGTACCAGACTTACTAAGAGCAGCAGTTCTTTATTACCTTCTGTGTTTTGGCTGCTTTCTGCTGGTGGAGCAGGCAGCTCTGAGGCAGCTGGGGCAGGAGCAGCTTCCGCAGGAGTGACCGTCTCACTCTTTTCTGGAAATGGATGTAAACCAAGATTAGAGAAAGCTGTGTTTCTACAGCTTTGATATATTTAGGAAATGCAAAAAAATCAGCTGTGGTTTTCTAGTATTTAGAAGATGTGCTGTAAGGAGAAAGGGCCTACTGGATGACAAGGCTCTTTTCTGGGCTAGGAAGGAGCTAATGCCTGAAATATCAAATTCTGTGTTTTTGATGTGTAAAATCTTGGTTGATGATAGCACTGTTATTAGCTGTTAACCTCAGTTAGATAAAAAAAAAGTAGGAAAAGTAGTGAAAATTATGCAGTTATGATTTTTTAAAACAATTTGCTTTTTCATGAGATTTTGTTTAACTTTGTGGTTGGAATGTAATGTTCTATACACTGCAGCTGTGTGTGGTTTGGGAGAAATGCGAGACATTACTAGCAATCAGTATGGAGAAAGTATTTTTAAAATCTCACTATCATTTGCTCCCCTGGCTTGTGGAAGTCTATGCCCTCTCAGTTAAACCATGGCTTCACAGACAAATTCAGACAAATCCATTTGGCACAATAGAGAAGATAGAAACATATGAAAAGGGAGTAGGAGTGAGCAACTGAACCAGAAGGAGGGAGGTAAAATTTCTTGAAGCAGATCAGCTGCTGACTTTTTTTTTTTTTTCTCCTTAGGTAACAGAGATACTTCCAAAGGGCCTTGCCTACTTCACAGTCAAGTCCCACATGCTGTTTCCCAGCTAATGCAGCATCTTTTCCACTAGAGATTTCTGGACATGTTGTGCCATGAGGTGAGTAATTTGTGTGGCTTCTCTGTAACAAAGGGAAGTGGCTGTGTCTGGGTAGGCAAGGAGACAGTTTCTATTGTTTTGATAATAAGAAGCTGAAAAGATGATTGTTTGTGATAATAATAATGGGTAATCCAGTTACACTTTGCCAGTCTAGCCTTTGTAAGATCTGAAAAACAAGATAGTACCTGTGAATATATGATCATGAATCAACCCCACTCTCAGAAAATTTATGCCGTTTACCCTAAAATGTATTTATGTCTTAAGAGAAAACAGTATGATTTTAATGTTTATTGTTAGAAAGTATCCCATTGGATCTAGTCCAAATAAATTTCAACTGTAAAAAGGGAAAATATCAAATATTAAAATACAAAAAGTGCTGAATGGGGACCAAAGCTTTTGGAGGAAAAAAAAAAAGGGATCAGGAAGGTCAAAATGTTTTTCCCAAGAAAGCCTGGGGAAGGTGTCTCCATCCATTTCCCATCTAGCTGTTGCTTTAATGCCCGCACAGATAGTAATGATAGGTGATACACAAATAATATGAAGGTTATTGTTTGCATTCAAGTTCCTCAAGAAATATGAGCTTTTGTTAGCAGGTGATTTTGAGATGTTTTGTAGGAACATATGAACTCCTAAAAACATAACAGCATAACTAGGAAACTTTTGTCAATTGTTAAATTTCCATTTAAATACAAAAATGTATTACTTTTTTTAAATACCAGGCCTAAGATGCAAGGTGAGTTCAGGTTAGACTAGCTTTGCTTTCCTTTCCGTTTCAACTTCACTAATGGTTATAGAGAAAAGCTTGACTGTGAATTCTAAAGAAGTACATTGAGATTTCCTCTGTGTTCTCCACTGTGTGGACTTCTGTCATCTGGAAATAGGGGTCTTACCCACGGGAAATGTGTCCCTCAGGTTAATATTAAAGAGCATTTTTTATAAATCTTACTGCAGTTTCAAATCATATGGCAAAACAGATATATTGCCAGTAAAGAAATTTTACAATTTTAAAGTAGCCTAATTTCCATGGGCCTCATTCATGAATTTTGAACATGGGATTGAAAATACTGTTGAAATTAGAATTGCTTAGGAAACACTGTACCTGGTTCTTTGACCTTGAGTTCAAATTTGACCTTGGAACTTCCAGCTATTACAGCATATGTCACATCATCTTCTTTTACTACATTATTGATTGTCAGTGAATGCTTGTTTCCTTCTGCCTTGATGACATATTTCTCACTGTCAGTAATTTCTGTGCCAGCTCGCTGCCACTTCACCTTGACGCTGGCTTTTTCTGTCTCTGCTTCAAACACAGCTGTACTTCCGGCTGTCACCTCTGTTGTCTTCGGCTTCTTGGTAAATGCAGAAACTAAAAAAAGAGAGAGGACTCAGTAAAATCTGTTTTGCAGTTGTGGGATATCTGGTGTAGTCAGCTGTTGTGGCTGCAACAGCTGTCTCCTTTCTCTCCCATCTGCCCATGCAAGATATAAATTACACTTTCCACAGAGAAGTTGTGGAATTGTCTTTGTTTTTACCAAGTTCTGTTTCTGACTGAGATGTCTTGTCTTCTCCATATTGTCATGAGATAAAATGTAAGGGATAGTAAACTTGTCTCACTGTCCATCTTCCTCTTCCTTTCTCCTGTACTGAGCTCTGATTTTTCGTGAGTGTTTTGATCTATGACAAGTTGGTATGATTTATATTCTCACATATAAAGCTTTTTGTCTTAATTTGCTATGCAGTTTTGTTTAGAAATAGGAATTCCTTCTTAATTCTATCCTAACAGTTGCTTAATGCTGGCATTAAAAAGGAGCAGGATCTGTTCCTCCAACAAAACTACAGTTACTTCAGCAGCCTGTGTCCTAATATACCATAATAAATTAATGGTTCATCTTCAGTCCTTCTGTTTTGACCAGTCAAGGCTATAGTGGAAAGGGATGCATGTTCCTATGATGGCCTTTGTAATTATATCCCACCTAAAATACTATCAAGTATTGTTTGCATTCAAATCATTATTCTGAGCATAGCAAGTTTAGTATTAATAATTAATAATAGTATTAATAAGTGCTTACCTACGACAGCTAGTTTTCTAATGAATTACAAGATGGATCAAAATATTTCCTCTATATGTTAAGGAGCACTTACGATCCTAATGACGAGAAATAATTAAATTCTCAATATATGGGATGAACAAGCGTAAACCAAATGACCTATTTTGGCTTATGTGTAATCAAAGTAGCACAACAGATGTGAATTTGGAAAGCAAACTATGTATTGTGCTTTCAGCCTATGGGTATCTTAAACTTTCTCAAGATTAGATTTTAATGAGACTGCTTGCTTTACCATTTCCTTTGCTCTGAATTATTTATTTTTATCTTTTAACTTTATTTTGAAACAAGTTTTTCATGTTCGTGTTTTGGTCTTAATTAAATCTGTTACCTTTCTGCTAATTGCCCTGAGCCATGCTCGTGTATAAAAATACCAGTAATTTACATTCTGATTCATACATTAAATGTTTTTTGTGTGTCATTATGTCATCTTATTATTGACTTGCCCTTTTATAACCATACTTTTATATAATACTCGTAATTCTGTCACATTTGATTACATCAGTCACCTTTGCTGCAAAGTATCCATGGCTTGTCTACTTGGACAACAACAGCAACTTTCCTAAACACCAGAACAATGGTTATAATTAGCATAAGCTTTTGTTTCTTCTTTATAAAAATGAAGGGAACGTGGTATGGAAGGAAACACTCTAAAAGAAATAGCTCATACTCCTGTTCAAACAGGTGCTTGAGCTAGCATAAATGCTATAGTACTAATAATGCCATCTGCACTAAATCTCCATTCCTGTGCCATGTGCTCAGACTGCATAACTAGACCACAGTGGAGTTACACCTGCAAAGATCTTGTCTGATGGCCTTTGGACTGTAAAATGAAACAGGACTCTCTTCTTGTACTGTTTTGCAAAGCATCAAATTCAATTTGCTCAAGCATCAAATAAAGTGACTTACAAATAATACTGTAATTTAGGATGTATTGCATTTTGCCTTTCTTTTTTATATAAATTCCTATTTTATTTTTTTTTCCCCTCACATTTTATAATTTGGTGAGAAAACAAATTTGTTTTGCACTAAGTAGCCTTCAATGAGCTCCTTTTGTCGTCTTCTACATGTGTATGAAATTTCCTCTGGCACTGGAATGTGCTTGGATGTTTTTATGTTTTTTGTTTTCTAACCTTAGGGCTGTAAGTGATATAATTGTTCTTACACAGAATATGGTATTTTTATAGAATATAAAATAGAAAATATATTTTTATAGAATGTAATACTCTGTACTTTAGTGTAGTAGTCAAATGCTTGCTATCAGCTGCACATCTTTTGGTACAGTATTGTACTTCAGTATGTAACACACCAGGGTATCCTTGATGTAGTGTATCATTGTGACTAGTTGCATGAGAGTTACTGTAGACAGCAACTTTAATGTAAAGAATTCAAAAGATAATTAGAGTTGGCCAGGCTACCACAGAGTGAGGAGCCAGGTCACTTCTTGAATCCACTCCTGAAATACCTACCAGCTGGCTCCTCTCCCTGTGACTGTAGAGATGTGGTGGAAAGTGAACATGCTTCTTCTCTGAGTACTACCATCATCACTCTTCTATTTAAGCACAAAATAGTCTATAAATACACTAATTACTTAACAGTAATGTCACCTGCAAAGGTTCCATCCTCTGAATGTCAGTGTTTCAAGACATGTATTCAGAAATAACTTTGTGATCTGCTGCACACCCTGTAAAGTGGTAAGGTTTCTTACAGTTACTTTAGATGACTCAACAAAAACAGATTGTTGGACAGAACTACATTCACAGTGAGAAATCTCCACCACCACATCATATTTCTGACTTGTGGAAAATCTAAATACATATGTAGAAGTTTACAAGTAAGTCTCCCTGTGTTTTCTTTTTTCCTCTCTCCCTTTCCTGCCAAAAGACTCACTTATTTCAATTTCTACTTAAAATGTTTGTGAATATTTCCATTAAAACGTGTGATTGGAACAGGCCAAAATTTCCATGAGAATTAAGACCTGCAAGAACCATTCCTGAGAACCCACTTTTTCACAGGCAAGGAGATTCTGAGAGTCATTTTCTTGCACCAGATTTTCAGAGTCAATGGATGACAGTGTTCAAAGTGGTGTCTCTTTGTATATCCGTTTATATTCCCTTTTATCTTCCACTGTTCATATTTGCATGCAAAGGAGAAGTGGGGATGTACAGCTGGAGGTTTTATAAGAAATTTCTTTGTTCCAGAAGAGTGATTGCTGAACAAGCACTCGATGAGAATCCTGTCATTTTCCCTTGTGGGGGAAAAGTGGGCAGCTTAACAGAAGAAAGAGAAGTTAGAGGTTAGCTGCTCACAGTCTCCTCTCCTTCACTGTGGCTCCTACTTTAGGTAACAAATGTATCTGAGTTCACCAGATTTATTTTTTTTCATATCGTTATACCAATCTAATCCAACTGTTTCCTCAACAGGAATGGCCCAAAATATCACCATTCAAAACTTATTGCCCATTCTGAGAGCCTCGATTTTGCCTGCTTTTGTCAGAAACACATTCCCCACTTAGAGATCTCTCTCACTTCAACGCTTGATTTGGCTTCTACCCAGCTATGTCCCTCTGAGTTTCATGTATCCCTCCCTTACTCAAAATGCTCTTTGACGCTACCACCACCATCAGGCTGTGGAAAACCCAGCAACTGTGACACCTCTCATGTGATGTTGTGGAATGGCTACACCTCTTGTGCCTGTCAGGCACTGACAGATCTCAGGCACTTTCTCATGTTTATCCAGATTCCAGTCAAATGTGAGCAGAGGAGCCATTGGGCTGAAGCACCTGATGACGAAGTAGCCCATGTCCTCTGCCTCCCATTTTTTTAACTCTCTGCTTGCCATTAAAGTCTAACCCACCCAGCAAAAAGGAAGAGAGAGCAGTCAGTAATGCTAACAACGTGTACAATTCGGGGGAAGGGGAAGAGGCACATATATATGAATTATCAGTGCTGGTGATGACAGGAATTGTTGTTGAAGGGAAGCTGAATGATAAGTGTGCTGTGTGCGCTTGTTGGGGGAAAGGAGCTGGAATTGCTTTGGGGAGTTAACATGGGGTGAGAAGAGGGATGTGGAGCTAATAAAAGGAAATGAGTCTAGAGCCACTTGATCCTAACCCATTTTTCAGCACCCACTTCTCATATCCTAGACTTTCCTACCACTTCCAGCACCCATAAGAACCTCACATAACTTATGAGTAATGTAAAAGAGCAAATTTCTACCTGTGACAAAATGGGAAGCAGGCTCCATGTGGTCTGAAGTAGTCTTGCAGAAAACTTTCTGTGCCTAATTTTGTCCCTACTTAAACTTGGATCTGATAGCACTCCTCTAAGAGTCTTGTAACAACTGAAGATGTCTCAGGAAACATCAGCTATACAGTTATATATGTTACATGAGTTACAACTTCATTAAATAGTAATAAAAAACTTTCTATTTGGAGCTCCACAATCAGATTGCATTTTGATAATAATTTATTAATAAGTCTTTCAATCATCAGGTTGAAGAAATAGAAAATATATATGCTTTTGGTCAAATTAAACTAGAATTATATCATTTAAGTCCCAAAACCAACTACCTTTGTTTTTCTCCTAAGTAAAATTATGAAATTAGTATTCTGCTTTCCAACAGCTGCCATTTGTTAAATCTTCATCTGAGTGTCTTTATGCTTTCCCCTTACTTTCTGACCTACTTTGAATTAATCTTCTAATGCCTACACCAACCTAGTTTACTGTTCTGCTACAAAGCTTTTCATATTATCCTATGCAAAACAAAACAAAAACAAAAACGCAACAAAATGTCTAAGCTCCTACCTATTGGACTATCCATTGCTTTCTTTGCTCTCTTGTTGAGTTGTCTGTCCATTTACTGGACTTTTCTTTTGTAACTCTTTAGAGGCAGGGACTATTTTACTGTTTCTTTGTACAGCATCGAAAAGCTAATAAATAGCAACTAAGTACTGTTGTATCTCGAATAAGAATAAAAGCTAGTGTTAAATGTTAGAGGGGAAATGCTTATTTGGTGATTATCAGGAAAAAAAAATGAAGATATGTATTAAAATAATGTTTAATTAACTGGAATCATTTCACTTCCTAGCCACATCCTGTAAGTGATTTGGCTTGTTAAGAATCATAAGCATTATACGGAAAAGTTCCCCTAAAATCACTGAATTCGAAGTATATGTGAAGTACCTGAAATCAAAGAGGTGTTGATTCCACAATGGTGGTTTTAACTAGATAGAGTGATAGAGGAGAGCCATCCCGTTGTGGTTTTTGTTTTTAAATTTCATCTCGCTTTTCAGAGCGGTGGCTCTGACTTTAGCTCTTCATCACGCATTATTTGTGATAAGTCCTTAAAGGAGAGAGAGATAAGCACTTAAGGACAATGTGTGTTAGAATAAGCACTTCAAATGTTATTTCTACTTTTCTGAAGTAAAAACTGTAAAAGGTATAAGTGTTTTAGGAGAATCTAATCAATCTGCTTGAACGCGCATCCTACAAGCTCCACCAGAAACTTGTGATGAGTATAACTTAGAAAAAATAGTCAGCAGTTTTCTCCTACAGAGCCAAGTCAGCTTACTTCACGTTCTGTGTATTTGGTATTCAAATATGTACATGGGCGCCATATTGAATTAAAAATTTAAAAAGTAGCATTAGCTTGTGTAGTTCCTTAATTTGTTAAGGCTTCATGTTGAAAATTTGTCTTTGTTTTAGTACTTATACTTGGCATTCAGTTCTCTTCTTCTACCATTTGCTCTTCCATTGAGTGAAAAGCCAAACTATGGATAAACAGACTTCAGTAATGGAGCTTGTAAATTCTTTGGTGAGGAACTATATAAAGATTCTGTGCATTCCTCATTCAGGACCTAAGTGGCTTCTTGCAATTACAAGCTTAATCATTCCTTGATCCAAAAGCTGTTGAGCTACTCAATCTTATCATTCCTTGTCTACTTCAGCAGCTGAGATTGTAAATTCCTGTAACATGAGCAACAGGCAAGGAATAGTTTCACTAACCAGTCATCTCTCTCTCTATGCACCCATCATACTTGCTGTAAAATGGGGATAATATTCAGCTTACTTTGAATCTTCAATTACCAAAAAAAAAAAAAAAAAGAAAAGAAAAAAGGAAAATATATCTATAAATTTGTTATTACGGATTTTTATATTCCTGTAGTGCACAGAAGTTCATTATCATGGACCAGTATTTTAACACTGAGCAGTACTTTACTGTGCTAGGTGCTTACAAACATAAAACGAGGAGCTTATATTCCAGCTAAAATTCTAGAGGCTATCCTTCAATATGCAAAATTGCTTATTATTATGAAATGCCAAAAATTTCTCTGTACTTATAGCCAAATTATTTATAAACCCTTGATAAAAATACCAAGTCTGAACTGCAAAATCCAGACTCCTCAATGGATAAAATACATGAAAAAAAATGTACTGATTTTCAGAGAAGGTGAGTAATGGCAGACTTCTCCTTTTCCAGATTTAGTAATGCATACATTTCCCATTAAGTCCCATTTATCTACTAAATTTGGTGTTAAAAGGTCAGCTGTTTCCTTTTAATGTCACAAAATAATGTTAAGGAAATGGTTGGTGTTTTTAACCTTCTTGAGTTTTCACAAAAACAACAAAAATAGATTAAAGCTTTTTTAAAAGCCAGTCTTTGAGCAGAGGTCAACTGTGAAATGTGTAAGACACAAAGAAAAGAATATAATGCTTCTGCTATGGAAGTCTGCAAAAGATAATGTTTTTCAATGTTTGATAGCTTGCTCTAAAAATGAATTGCTGCAGATTTTCTAAATGCTGTTGGTCTTCAGGAATGTATCAACTTTCCAGAAAGCCATGCCAGTTCTTATGGTGTTGTGTAGAGAAATGGGACAAAGCCTCATCCTGAAGGGTTTCAGCTGGACAATTTAAAGTAAGAGAATGACTGTTGGGAAGTCTATTTCACAGTTTTAGTTTATTTAATTTTTTATACATGTTGAAAGGTTTATTACAACAGCAGGATACCTCTGATCATTCTCTGGCATGAAGCATTTTTCCTTACTTGTACACCGGGTGCCCTAATTTCAGTAATAATGACCGAAGACCTCTCAGCATTCTGCGGTATTCTAACTATATGGCATGTGAAAGGCAGAAATCATGACTTGTCCAGGTATGAACTATAAGGTGCTTATTCAGCCCTCCTGGGATTATGCTGAATACTATCCTGTCGTGAAGTGACTTGAATTGTATAAACAAAGTGAAATAGAAAACCAGAGGGATTAATGGCTCTTAGGAGAAAGAGAAGATCCCTCCCAAGTTATGGGGCATGTGACTGGTTCTGTCTCGGTTGGAGTGGGTAATAAGAGCTTTTCCTCCCCCTGCTGCGATAATCACAGTGTTTGGGCTGGTTTGTTCATAGGAATTGCGTAGGACTAGTGTTGTTAGACACCTGTTAGATTTCTTTCCTCTGGAGAAATAAACTGGAACAGAATTTATCTTCACCATTAGCTAGCTGAGCTGGACGTCTTCACAGTCAGAGAAGTTGCCTCTTATCCCAGAGGTTGAAAATGTTAATTTAAAGGCAGTTGAACCATAACAAATCAAGTCACAATGCCTAGGAGATCACACTGTCAAATTTTCCCTGCTCTGTCATACTTATTTTTGCTAGCATTGCCAATCACAAGCATTAGACATTTCAATGAATCTCAAAAATCAAGTGACTTTAAAAACAGAATACAATTATGAACATCTTTTTTGGTGATTGCTGAACCTTTACAACTTACATTTTCAGGGTTTTCTCTACAATTGCAAGGTCTGGTTTATACTTATTTTTATATAAGATTCTACTTCCATCAGATTTCAGAATTGCAGCTTGAAGAACATCAAGTGATAAAATCGAGGTATTGGTGCCAACCCTGTCACTTCAGTTACTGTATAAAGAAGGTTCTTGAAGCTAATCATGCTTAAGCGCTTTGCAGTTCTTAATGTGAGATACAGGTTGGATTTGTTTTCTGTCTCTTGCAGTGTCTGATTCCAAATATTTTGGCCAAAATGAAAGTTCTTCTTAACAGCTGTAGGCTCTTTTGTAATGTTGAGCACAGCACATTTTCCCATTGACCAGCCTAACGGGCGACTGATGCCTGTTCAAAGTACAAAGGCCTACTTTAATAAGTATCAGCAGTTGTTATTGACTAACTCTAAGAACTGTGTGTTATTATAGGATCTTGTGGCTCAACAGGAGAGGATTGAGGAGGGTGAATGAAAGGAAATATGCATATATTCTTTATAGTATGGTGTCTCCTTTTTTTTCATAGAGCTCTACTGTCACTGGATGGGAGAACTAGAAAGAGCAAGCTCTGAACCAGGTGCCATTTGCTTTCATTTTCACAGAGATTTCACTACCAGCAAATAACATCAAAGTTTGCCACTTACACTTCCTGAAAAGTATCAGGATCAAAAAACAACCAAACAAAAACAACAACAACAAAAAAAAAACACCACCAAAACAACTTGGGAGACTTTACACTGCCCAACTGCCCAAGAGAGAGATTCCAAGCTTCTTTTTTCACAGCCCTGAATGTGACTGTGAGAAGAAATGAGATAAGAAAGGAATCTAAGAATTAAACCTCTATTCTTTCCTCATCCAAAGTCTCTTGAGATATTCCTGTCACTGATTTCTCTGCAAGATCACATTTATAAAATACCATCTCTTTTTCTTCTCATTTTTTTCCCCTGAGGCATCTATTTTTTTTCCAGCATATGAAAGCTTTTTTCTCTGTCAAGCCATTCTCAGCCTTTGTTTGGCAGTTATGATCCTTACCTGTTTTCTTTACAGGCTCTGGCATCTTCACTTTGTTTCTGATGAAGCTCCCAGCTGTATCTAGGAAGCAGGGTCCGAGCTAAACAGGAATGAGTCTCCAGGGCTTTTGAGACCCCCTAAAGAAACTCTTGGTGGAAGCCCCCATCCTGCTCCTCCCCCTTGAGCCCCCTCTGTTGTCAACTACGGCACCTTATCAACAGCAGGACGCACTTGACAGGCTACATCAGCCAGGATAAATATAGCCAAGTTCCAGGAGCCGGAGAGCTCAAACCATCCAATAGTGGCTACTGCTGAGCTGTTGGTGCAAACCGGAGCACAATTGGATGTTGCATATGCATACAGTACATTTTCCAGCCTCACATATGTATTGCATTAAGAATTCCTACACTGCCATGCTTATAGCACATTCTGTAAACTGGATCTGATAATTACATATCCTGTATGTTTGTTCCGTGCTTACTACAAGTATGTATCTGCTTGTATTCTTGCCACTTTGCTATTGTTATAATCCTGTCAGAAACAGACAGACCCTCACAGAGCTTTTTTTCTTTTTCAGTTTTCTCCTCTACTGAAAACTGCTTGTAGAATTAAATGCAAAACTTCTTGAAATAACTTTCTTTTTCAGACACTTTACTGACCTTTGCAGTCACAACTATAAAGCGTGACACTACTTAAATAGTTTCAGTCCTGCCTCCCCATCCACCCACTTGATCTGCAGCATACATTACTTGAAAACTAGCAACCTTTTTTTTTTTTTTTTAAAGCACCATTTCAAATATGGTTCCAGGGTTCTTTTAGATACCTCTAAAAGTTTTAATTTTGCTGGCAAAAGCAAAACAACAGGAAAACAGATCTGGGGGAAATCTCACCAGGAAATAGCTCTCACATTGCCATTTCATGCTCCAGTCATTGCATTATCAACGTGGTGGTGCATCCATTTTCTGTAACTTTTGCCTGTCTCATTTTTAATTTCAAGCTTTGTCAGAGAAAGTCTGTAGGCCAAATATTTAGCATATTTTAGCAGCCACTAGTATTGGAAAAAAGGAAAAGAAAAGAGAGAGTTTAAAAAATACTTGGTTTTTAGTTTTCCACTTGTACTAACTTGTAAAAATCTCAGTCTAAAGGATCTCAGCTTTTGGTAGGGATTTCAGAAAAGACAGATGTGCATGCAGCACATCATTCACTCTATTTCCTATCTGCCCTCACATCTGACTCTCTGGGTAGGCTGACTAATAAGAAAAAGCAAGAATGCTGCTATTTCTCTTATGGTTTTGATCATGATGTGACCAATATACATCTCCCATTGCCTCTGTTTCTAATGGAGCAGAAATTAGCATGATACGTTTTTGATATACTATCCTGTGGCATTTCACTGGGAATCAGGAGGTCCAGACTGTCAGCTTTGGCTTGAAGTCTTTTGAAGTCCCACAGTATGAAAAATCAGCCACTCGACTAGTGAAGATCATTATTCTTTACTTAAATATTTCTCTCTATTAAAGAACTGCCATTAATCTGTTATTCTCTCCAGATCCCAGCAGACATTGGAACAACATCAAAATCCCTTCTGGAAAGAGGGTTATCTCCCTGAAGCCTTAGACAAGGGAGGCTACAGGAGGCAGAACTAACATAGATTGACAGAAGGAGAAAGAAAAAAAATATGCAGATTATCCGCATTATGCACATTTCTTCTCAACCTATTTGCCTCTCTGGCATGTGTCCCTGAAATAATGTTTACAGGGGAAATCAGCTGACTAGAAGTCACTTCTGCAATACTTAAAACATGAAACTCTTGTAATCACCATCAGAATCTGCTTCACTTCCTCAGGAATCACTTTGCTTCGAGAAGTTAGTTTCACTACTTCATCCTTTCTCCCTCACCTATTAGCAAAGAGTTATTTTTATTGAAAGTCTCTACGGTATGTTCTGAAGTAGTTGATAGGGTACAAACCACAGCATGCTGAAGTGTTTTCTTAGATCTGGATTCAGAAGTCTGTTCAAGTCATCATCATTTTTTACAGCTAGCATCATAGACCTTTATTAACATGAACTAAAATAGTGTAAGTGGAAATAAGCCGATTTGCATAGGTTTAAAGGAAATGTGTACTGATTTAGAACCTCTTTAAAATGCAGGCCTGTAGTATTTATCATATCCTCTAGGGCTCTAGTTTGTTCTCTGCGAGTGTCCAGTAAGAGGTGCTTCAAAGCAAGACCTGAGAGCCTTGGAGGAGTTAAATGTGGGATAATTCATATCTAACACAGATGTCATCCTGAATGCTAACAGATATTGGCTTAAATACATCTTCAATATTTCTTTTAAGTTCTTGGAACTCTTAATAGTGTTGTGTCACCTAAATACTCATTTCTTTCTGAAATGACATTATTAAGTCCTTGGACTCAACGTTTTCTAATCATGGTGATTTCACTGTTGAAGTAAACATTGTAAAAATAGGAATTCCATTTTGAGTTTGGATTTTCCAGTTTCTAATTAGAATATCCTCTTGTTCTGGGAGAATAGAAATTGTCCATCAATGTCTGAGTATTGAATGTTTTCTACACTTTCATCAGAGCACATCCACTTTTCTTAGAACAAAAAATACAACTGTGTAATTCTATATTAAAACACTTTTAAACCTGACACTAGGTATGGAAACATTGCTATTTATTTGCTGCTTTCTTTTCATCATATATTTGTCTGTAAAATTCTCAGGCGTGTGTCTGACGACGGTGTGTATGGAAGTGTTCACATCCACCACTGTGACAGTGATGGAAAGGTCCTGCTTCCTCCAGGGAGATAGGGAGTTAATCCTGCCATCGTATGGCTGGCAGAAGAATTGCGTTTGTGTGTTTCTCTGGAAATTTATCTCTAAGGGTAGATAATTCTCGAAGAATTGTAAGGGTATGTTATTTGTGGATAGTATCCCAGAAGCTGTCTATGAGCTGTTGTTTCCTAGGGAATTGGAAAAAAAAAATCTGATCTGAAAAATAAAATATGATTGGATATTAGGTCACTACCAAATATATAACCAGCTGATGTAGCATTCCCACTGCGCATTACAAAGGAATGCTAGGCAATGGACGGTGTTTGCTAATGCTGGGAGCAGAACATGCAGGAGTTCATCCCAGTGCTGCTTGGTAGGATCGTGTAAATAGGCTCATACTGTTGTCTTGTCACACCTCTTACTTACCACAGCCAGTTAGAAATTTTTTAGACGTGAGGTACTATGGATTCTCATAAGTGCCTGGGAACTGTTTCCTGATGCTTTTCATGTTTCCCAAACATAATATTTTTTTCTCTGTTTAAATAAATATTCCATATTTAATGTGATTGCAGCATTTTCCTTTTCATGAATGGATTTTCCACCCATGAAAACACCTGACAGGTTATTTTATTTGGATCTCTTTGATCAGGATTTCATGTTACCTATTCCATATCTTTCTTACTGTAGGTACGTTTCTTTTTGTAAACATTTAGTGGTATAGTTTTAATTCAGCAAGGTACTGAAAGACATAGACACTTTTAAAAATTGACTTAATCCTGAATATTTCTGTCCTTAAAACTGGAATGTATAATGAGTACTGCAGTGAGTCAGTCCCTTAGCTGGTCATTCTCCATAGATACTTTCCAGGGTTCAACATCGAGTTTAATGTTGGGAGGGTATGACTTACTTCTTCCCCACAGTGAAACAGAGCCATGGGAATTATTTCAGCTGACACAGGGAAATGATCCTCTTCCACAGTTAAAAGTAAGCAATTTTTGTGATTTTAAATATATTATTCAAAATAGTGTCAGGTTGTCCAAGGCAGGGCAAAAGAAATGTCTTCCCTGCTATTACACTTCTGGTTACAAGGTGGCAGCATTGTAGCTGATAATTCTTTATTTTTTCTAGCATTTTCTACATTATATTTATTTATTTATATAACTGCTGTTAATAACAAAACTGCTATGCAAATGAAATATTTGGTAGCGGTTGCGACACTGGACCAAAATAGCTGCATTTGTGTAGCGGATTATGATAGCTGCTTATCAGCACACCACAACACTAGACGACTTTTTAGAAAGTGCGTGAAGTTTCATCCTATATTCAAATGAAACTGATGTAGAGGCATAGTGAAGCAACGCATAATAGATGTCTTTTGGGCTTTGCTATTAGAAGTGAATGAGGGGGAAAAGGGTGTCCTTGCTTGTCAGGGGAATTAGCTTGCAAGTCTGAAATTGGTGTTCTCTGCTGCCGACAGTGGCTGTACTCATGTATTTCAAAGTCAAGTTTAAAAAGGACAGTAAGAGATGGCCTGCACTGACAGACCATGTGATGCATCTTCCTGATTTTGGATAGTGGCAGCACGGCTTATATAAAACACTCAAGGATTTGTTATTTGTAGACAGATTTAGCAGCACCTCCTGCTATTCAGACTAACCAACTTCCTATTAAAAGACTATTTTTTAGATTGTTACAACTTTGCCCAAGTCTAGCTCTTGAGGCAGAAAATACATATACTGCCTGTCTTCTGGGGTCTTTTTCTGCATTTAGCTTCTGTCATTTCATTTGATTTCTTGCTCCGTCTCTGTTTATTTGTCTCTCCATCTTAGTTTTGTTTTGTGAAAATACAACCTCAGCAGTTTCTGAGGACAAGGTAGGTATAATTAACTTGCAGCTCCAGGGGTTGTGGATTTGCAGGCACAGCTGAGCTGGCTGCGTGCAGAGCACAGCTCCAGCAGAATCCACTCACTGAAGTGCTGCGACCCATGAAACCAGTCAGGGTGTTTCCTTTGTGCCTTTGACACGCAGATCTTTGAGGCGTGCTGGGCGAGGGCACTTCACCTCCCTGATAGAACTGGAGTCTACCAGGGCTTGCTAGATGTGGGTAGCACTGACCCTGCTCGTCTGAGCTTGCCTCTGCACAAGCATTTTGTATCCCTGCCCTTTATGTCCCGTGTTTTGGATCTTTCTGGAGGTTTGCCAGCTAAGTGGCTTTCATTGCAGAGGTGCACTTCTGACTGGTTGCATACTAATTAACTGGAGTTGCTCCACGTTCAGATTATAGAAAAGAAATGCAGTTTACACGTGCTCAGTGAGAACGACTTAGATTTTATCCTCTGAAAGAGTTTTGACTGTATTAGTTGTGGTCCAGGTAGGGTTCAGAAGATTTTTCTCTCTGGTGT